TATCGGTAGGATGATATGGGCGTCGAAAGTAAGATCCAACATGTCACAAACAATAGAGGCTATTGGAGCTACAGTCACAGATCTCGGAATAACATAGTCAGATTTAACCTTTTCCGATCATGTAAATAACGCAGGGTCCGACTGTAAACAACTTACTGGCTATGTGCTGCGTAACTTTTCCACCCAAGAATCAAGATTGGCTATATATATGACATGTATTCGCCCCGAACTTGAATACTGTGTCCCCTTATTTAGCAACCTAAGGTCTGCAGACCGAAGAAAAGTAGAAAGTGTCCAGAGATTCCTCACGAAACGCATAATGGATTCGACCAACAAGTCGAATATGTTAACAGGCATATACGACTGAAATTTGAACCCCTAAGTTTAAGGAGAGTGAAAGCAACTTGTTTCTACTCTTCAAAGCCATTAGGAAACATTGCTACAGTAACTCATCCATAACGTGGGCAAATATCAAATCATATCAGCTGCGAAACCACAACTACTTTGTCAAGGTGGCTACCCATAAAAAAGCATTAGGGTAAACTTTTTCACCATTAAATATTGCACTTTTTGGAACCAACTACCATCTGAAATCAGATGTTGTGAAAACCCCGATGGGTTCTAGCGGAGCCTAGAAAGACGAATTAAAATGTCCACTCTAACCCGTCTAAAAGACCACAACTCTTGGTAGAACGGTAAATGAAAGCCAGTCCAGTCTTCAGTGTGGTCACTTACATATAACTCAACTCCACTACTTACGCAGAGAACGTTTAACTAATTTACTGATTTTCTATTCTCTTTAATCTTCAATAAGTTGTGTAGTATAAGTAATTCTGGAAACAATTATATTAGTAACCACACCCTTTAATGTTTTATATACATATATTTAGTCAATAATACACTGCTATTTTTTGTATCGAAATGACTTCACTCAGTCAATAACTAACTTTTGTCATATACTTTTCTAAAATGTATAATTTTATAACATTTCGCAGGGTTTTTAACGTAACATAAGTTGAAGGGTTAATTTGCTGGCGGCTGTGGCTAGTAATTTTGGGAAATTACCCACCGCTACAATATGTAACGTATTCTACATAGCCATCGATATCCCCATCTGCCCTTCACTTCCCCTAATATTTTCCTTTGAAACTTGTTTTCAGCTGATAGAAAAAACTCTCTGGGGACACAGTCATGTAGACAATCATTCATTCAACCTCAAGATAAACAGACACAGCACTACTTTCTGCTTTCAACACAGTTGTAACAGTTGACAAATAGCTTATGAAAATACTTCAAAGACACAGAAATGTCTTATAACACCTAAAAATGAACCCCAAGACATCATTGGGTTAGGTTTATAAAAGCCCGCTACACATTTATTACGCCCAAGTAACTGAACCTTTGATCCCTTGGTCTGTCCCAAAGGGTCGGAAATATTGCACCCCTTGGATAAACCGAGAGATTCATAAGTTACTCAGACGTTAACACAATTTTTGGAACTTGTTTGCCACACTTGAGACTTCTGAGACCAGGCAATTATATAACACTACAAGAAATAAAGCCATTGCAGAAATCCGCCAATCAAGGATGAAGTTCGAAGCACACCTGGCTCAAAATGCTAAGGCACAACCTAAGAAAATTTTCTCGTACATGAACTCCAATGGTGTCCCAAACCTGACTATTGACAATGATACAATCGAAGAAGATCAAGAAAAAGCAGAAGCAATGGCAAACTACTTCTCCCAAGTCTTCACTCAGGAGTCGTCACTGCCTATAGGATCAGCCCTGGCTGCATCAGAAGAACATGGGATAGATTCCGTTGACATCGACCAAGGCATTGTGCTCAACTGCCTAAGGAAACTAGATGCGGGGAAATCAATGGGTCCTGATAATCTTCATCCAAGGCTTCTCAAGGAGTTATCAGCCCACATAACCGGCCCTTTGACTACGATCTTCAGGCTTTCTCTCCAAAATGGATTGTTACCGCGTGACTGGAAAGACGCCATAGTAACCCCTATCCACAAAGGAGGATCAAGACAAAGCCCTTCAAATTACAGGCCTATCAGTCTCACCAGTTTTTTAATCAAGACACTGGAAAGAATCATCAAGAAAAGCATGATGGCATATCTAGAAAATAGAAGCTTATTATCTAGAGCACAGCATGGCTTCCGAAAGAACCTCTCATACCTGTCAAATCTCTTCACCGCAAGAGAAATTTGGATCAAATCCAGGGACAACAGAAGACCCGCTGACATCCTCTTCATAGACTTCAGCAAAGCCTTTGATAAAGTACCTCACAAAAGACTACTCATGAAGTTAGAAAGTCTTGGTATCAAAGGCAGCTTACTAAACTGGCTCAGGGAATTCCTCACAGGTAGGAGGCAGAGGGCTAGGATCAACTCGAAACTCTCCTCTTGGACAGCAGTACGCAGCGGAGTGCCACAAGGCACGGTACTCGGACCTCTCCTATTTATTTTGTATATGAGTGAGTTATCTCTGCTCACCGGCTCCCCTATGGTCCTATACATAGATGACTGAAAAATTTGGAGAGAGCTTAGGGGCAACAGTGACACGTCCACGTTGCAAGAGGATCTCAACAAATTTTCAGAGTGGTCCATAGAATGGATGCTCCCGATAAATGTGGCAGAATGTGCAACCATGCGCATTGGACAAGCAAGCACGAGCTCCTACGAACTAGAGGGAATAACACTTCCATCAGTTCAGACTCACTTGGACTTAAGTATCATAGTTAGCCACGACTTAAAAACCACAGCACACTGCAGCGCGGTGGCTGTACGTAGTTTCAGGTCATTATGGGCAATTCGCAGAGCCTTCACTGGAATCACCAGAGATATGTTCACCTCCTTATATACATCTCTGGTGAGGTCCAGACTGGAAAACTGCATCCAGGCCGCCAGCCCTTGTCTAAAAGGGGACTCACACATTCTAGAAAGGGTTCAAAGGAAGGCAACACGTACGGTTCCCGGAATGACTAATTTATCATACGAGGAAAGACTTGAAAGTCTAAATCTCTTCTCCCTGTCATACCGTAGGCACAGAGGAGATTTAATCACAATGTTTAAAATTTTAAATAACGACTACGGACCTGACCTCATCGGAAGACTCCGACAGATTGCAGGCTGACCTGCAAACTCTGGGAGACTGGGCTCTGGCTAACGGAATACCCTTCAACCTAATGAAGTGCAAAGAAGTGCAACTTCATTTCGGCAGGCCACAGAGTGCAAATTACACCCTTGGTGGCCAGAACTTGAGTTGTGTGCCATCAGAACGCGACCTAGGCGTTATTTTAACAGAAAAGCTAGACACCAGTGTAAATTACACGAGGGACGTCGCCAAAACTTACGTAACTTTACACTTTATGCATACGCAGCTGGGAGCTCTTACTCCCGAACTATTCTTAAGGTTGTTTACGACATACGTGAGGCCGCTCCTTGAGGTGCATAATATCATTGCTCCCCCGCTACTCAAAAGGGATGCTAACATGCTAGAAAGTGTCAAGAGACGAGCGACAAAATGGGTGATCGGCCTCCGCAACAAATCATATGAGGAAAGACTGAAGAAATTATGTCTTTTCACACTTAGTTACCGTAGTCACAGGGGAGACCTCATCACCGTCTGTGAGATCTTAAATGACCAGGCCCACCCTAATAAAAGCATCCTGCCATTAAGTGATTATAGGCTTCCACGAGGTAACCCGCTAAGGATAGCACATCAGAGACCAAAGACTCGAGTGCGTTCACATTTCTTTTCGCTTCGAATTTGCCGTCTCTGGAACGCTTTATCGGCGGCCGTGACTACAGCGCCATGTGTGGAGACTTTTAAGCGGAAGCTGGAGAATCATGCAGAAATGCATGGTTTGTGTCTCAATGGCTTATCCTCTTAAAATTTGTAACCACACTGTCAATAGATAAGCATACAAGCCAAATCCACACGACCCGTCCTGTCTTCTCTCACTGTGCCGACTACTCTATCTTTTTTTAGGTCACCTTTATTATTTCACTTATCTCAACCTATATTTTCTACACTACAACCTATTATTATTACTATTTTGCATTTATGACTACACCGAATGACCAACGGGTGTTAGGTCAAACTCCATTCACGGCAGCAACTGAGTCATCATCATCATCAGTCCCTTGACTTTCGTCGTGGGGGTGCTATGACAGTTCGCGCTATCAGTCTTCGCCATTCTTCTCGGTTTAATGCTATTTTCTGTAGCGTATCCAAGGGCATTTCAGTCCACCCTTTTATGTTGTCAAGCCAGCTCTTATTCGGTCGACCTCTCTTTCGTGCTCCTCCTACTGTGCCTTGTAGAATCGTTTTGGACAATGTGTCATGTCTTACCGTGTGGCCGAACCATTGTAGTTTCCGTTTCTTTACGATTGAAAGGAGTGGTTCCTGTTTTCCTGCCAGTCTATGGACCTAGTGTAAGATATATTCATTAGTTTTCCTTCCAAGCAACTGAGTCCTAACATACTGCACACTACAAACCACATCTTGACCAATCCTCGCACCACTCCTCTTGGAGTCTACCAGAGCTAAAGCAGTCAAGTGGTGGTATTTACTACGCATAAGTTCACCGAAGATCTGGAACCTCTACCTTACAATCAAGAAGCGAGCTCAAAGAAATCACTGGTTTATACTAGCTCGTAATCAGGATATTGGATATTGGGCCTATTCTCTCTTTTCCTTCCCACCAGGTAGGAACACTTTAGAGGACATAGCAGGAGAATTCAAAAGCCAAGAAGAAATCATATTGCTGTTGAGTACTGGTTCTCATACCGAGTCATAAACTCTTGGAACTGACTCCCCGAAGAAGTGGTGTCTGCAGCCTCGACTGATTCATTCAAGAATGGCTTGGGCAGCCACAGAAATTTACTAGAAAAGGAATAACATAGGCTCCAAGTCTTCTATCCTCAACTAATAAATCTGAAAATCTGAAATCTGAATATTGTAGGTTGGCAATATAATAATTTAAGCCGCCTTATTTGAGTACATTGTTTGACCTTCGTGAGTTAGCAATGTCGGAATTACTTCTGTGTTACAATAAAGGATGTGCTCAAAAATTCAGCCCTGAAGAAAATAAGGAAGGTAATACACCCAATGGTTGTCATCATTATCTACAGATTCATGCAGATATCATCCTGGGGAGCCAATATTTCATGACGCTAAGAAAAAGTGGTCATGTTGCAATAAATACAGTACAGACTTTTCTGAATTTCTGAGTATAAAGGGATGCACTGTAGGAAAACATAGCAATATCCGTCCTGAGGACCCTGTCAAAGAACAAAAGAAGGTTGACCTCCCCGTTAAAGTGAGTGAACGGATGACTTCATTCAATTTTGGGTGAATGAACTCACTTTTGTAGGGAACGTTAAGAAAAGAGATTGGATGACCTTTAACCGTGTAACGTTTCATACTTGATATAGTGTTGTATCATACATTTGTCATCATATTCTTAGTGTGCTTCTATTCCGTTTCCGCTTCCATACCATGTTTTTTGTTTCAAATGTTTTGTGATCATGAGAAGTTACACACTTCTTTCTGGTAGTATCTAAGTCACACGCCCTCTGGTCCCTTTAGGTAATGTTTCCTACCTATTTATTGAGAATGTGATCCTCAAGTCAGCACCATCTGCAATTTCACGATGTGTTTAATTACTCAGTGATTTTAACATGGATATGGTTGCTGACTAATACAGCATCTTGTCGTAGGTGTGGAAGGAGAGGAGAAAAATTAAATACTCAGGGTGGTATTCTAATTTGGGTCTTTCAAATACCAGCAAGATCATGCTAATTATTCAGAATTGTAGCTTGGTCGTATAAATAAACATACTGGAAATAAGAATTCAAAATCCACATCCATTATTTAGCAGTCAATCATGCAGGTGAATCATTATCACTGAATAGGGATAAGTTTGGCAGCTTAGCTTGTAGTTGAAAGCATTAAGAATACGTCATGCATATTTTCAAGTTTTGCTTATTTATAACATGATTTGTATCGAACATGTAATTTAAACACTGTTTCTTCGATAAACATCTTTCAGCCTGTTCCTCCACCTGCACCTACAGCCCCAAAACCAGTTGATTTGCCTAGACCATCTTGTACAGAACCCACATACGATTTGTCTATTGAAGTTACATCAAATTTGAAAACTGCGTTAGAAAAACTATCATTGGATCCATCCTTTAAACCGTTAGAAAATTCGTCGGAGGGAAATAATACAGGTAATTTGTCAATATACTTATCATTACTATTTAACGCTATTTATCTTTGGTAGTTTTCCTGTTGTGCCTGTCATGAATATCTTAAGGCTCATTAATTTAAGCAGTTGATTATCAACTGATGAATCCCGTTGTTGTACATATTTCAGATTCAGATTATAAGGATAGAAGGCTCTTGTTGCCTATGTTAATCCTCGCGATATATATCTATAGCTTACGCAGTGTACTAGGCTTAGATCTACACTTACTATGTGTGGGTCAGTCACTCAAGCTGAAGTAGGTGGGATGGGACACTAACCCGTTACTCGTTAGCTGGAAGCCGATTGCTAAGGCCAAAACCGCTTCCTAGATAATACATATGGAGTATTACTAAGTGCGTAAACATGCATGTAATTGTTAAGTTGCATCTACTTCATGTACGATATTAAATTATTTTTATTTTAAAAATTTAAAATAACATTTTTTTTCATTTCGTTGTATATTTTTATTTATTTAACACAGCTCATAGTGACTCAGTAAATTTTTTGCTTAACTAAACGTGTCTGAGCGGAATCTATTGGTCAGAATCATATCTGTTTTATGCATCTATGAGCCACAAATTGTACTGTACTGTGGCACTATGTTCCTCCAAAACACCAAATAATCTGAAATTATACTTCATTACATCGTCTAAATGTTAATTAAATGTCAAATCAAATCCTCACTACTATACTCATATAAACATAGCTGTTTGTACATAATAGATATGAAACATGCTCCGATTATTAGTATGATATTATAGTGATAATATGAATATGTGTTTATGGGGCATCTGATTATAACCATGTCAAAAATAAACAAAGGTTAATGTGTACCCACAAGTATTGAAAACATGATTTTACAATTAGATCTCCAAAGAGACAAAATAGATCAATGCTTGGAAAGCTAATGACCTATTGTCCAACAAATATGCGGAATGAAATGGAGGTAAATGGAATGGATATACTCTAAGAAGATCTCCAACTGAGATCACAGGTAGAACTCTTATGGAAAGCAACGACCTGGGCTTGAGCACGAGGGTGACATAAAGCGGATCATGTGGAGAGTACATGAAAGCTAATAGGCAGTTGTGGAACCAACTAAAAAAAGATCGCTGAGTGAAGTGTTGGCATGTTGCCGAGGCCCTATGGAGGTTATAGGAAGCGCAGTTTAGACGATTACATATGTATATAATATATCCGTTAGTCCTGATTTTATCAAACCTATAAATACATTATTAAATGTAGATCAGGTAAAAACTTCTACCGAAAAAACACTTTTCAAGGTTGTGAAACACCAGAAATTCACTAGAAGCTTATTATTATCGTTAATTATCCCTTGGATTCCGACTAGAACATAGGACTTACAAGTTCTCATTTCCTCTTCACATTATCTTTCCTATGTCATCCTTGGACGTCCAACTTGTTGCTTGGCATTTGGGTCCCACTTGAAGTCCTGGGCTACTATATTACTCAATAGTCTCCTCAGCGTACGTCAGATTCATCCACTTCCATTTCTTTCTAGGTATTTTTTGGGCGACAAGTTCTTGTTTTTTTCTTGCCGGAGTTGCTTTTTGCCTATTGATTCTTGCCGGCCATTTGACCTTCAGCATAAAAAGAAAACAGGTGCTAATACAAGAATGCAGTCTGTTGGAAACGCTTTTCGCGATGCCCCCATCAAGTTTCTGAATCACACAGAGGCACTAACTTGACATAAGTTTTGAAAACTCATGTTTTCCCTTGTACTGAAAGCTTTAGATCTTCACACTGATTTCTAAGGATTGAACATCTCTCTTGCTTTTGTGACCCTACCTTTAACATCCTCATCCGTTGTGCTAATATTTTAAACTATGCTGCTCAGGTAGGCAAAGGACACAACTTTCTATAGATTGCTGCTCCTAATGATGATTGGTGCTCGGTGTTGAAAAATGTTGTGCAATTGTTAATTATTTGACTTAAATGTATCTTAAATTTGCTATATTTTCTTATTAGGTATTCATCCAATTGGTACGAATTGTAAAAATAGTGGTTGTAAACAGGTGAGTTATGCTGTTTATACGATTCATAAATTATTATGAGCATTCGAAATTGTAAAAGTTTATATGTCTTACTCAAACAGTGCGTAATGAAAGTTTGAGATTCCTCAAGAAATACAAAGAATTCCCTCGAGCTTAAAAATTTCGCATTGCTAAGAAAATGTAACAAATGTGTGGTAGCGGGTGATTATCAATGATATCCTCCGACTATTACACTAGGTCAATCAAATATTTTGGAATTACTATCTCTAAATTCTGTAGAGCACTCTCCTTCCAACTGGTGAGTGAGTCACAGGTTCAAATCCCGCTCCACCTACCAAGGTTTAGGCAGCTAGTTAGTTTTACTAGCCCTCCTCATATAGTGGGGTGTGACTGATTGCCAACTGCATTGAATCATTATGTTAAGTATTATGTGAAAACTTTATCATCTTATATAGTGTAACTGGAGAGTCACACCACTGATACACATTTGTGCTTAGTTCCACGACCTTAATTTTTCATGCAGTCAGTCGTTCAAAATACTATAAAATATCATTGACTCAAATTTTTATAATATTCAGTAATTTTCGATAAACCTGGTACATCTCAGGGTTTATAGACTTTGGTCTTCCTCTCTGTCATGTGGCCACGTGTTCATAGTCTCTATCAAGTAAGCCCTGTTCACTGCTTCTATGTGTTGGGTGTGTTTCTCACAAAAGTAAAAGGGCGAATGCAAAAGTTTGGCACTAACAATCGAACTAGTGGACATACTGGTCTACCTATAGAAGCTAGGAAACCCTGATTCCAAACATACGGTGTACATAGGCACCAAAATCTAAAACGATCGAGTAGTATGTGAATCTGTTTTGATCACCGGAACAACATGAATGTATGTCTTAGCATCGCTCGACTGCCTTGTGGATCGGGCTTCAAGTCAAAAACTCGGTACTTGACCTGTTAGGACAGTCGACTACTTTTTTTAATAATGATGCAAATTGTTTCTGATCAGTGTTGTTATGGGCAATATTCATTCCCAATGTGAGATAATGCAGTCCTCTTTATGTTACTAAAAGGAGTTGTATTTTTTATCTTTTTAGCTTTACACAGGAACTGAGGCAGACTGTGAGTTGTGCTTGTATCATCCCGGTGTAGCTGTATTCCACGAAGGGTAAGCTGTTCACTACTCTTTATTTTTTCACAACTACAACGTTGTCTGTTGAATATAGATGAAACAAAACAACTGAGCGAAGAAATCTTCACTTTTCAATTAGATCCTCATCTATGACTCTACTCTCATAGATAGATACAGCATTTTTAATACAATACAAAACATCTTATCAATGTAGTGGAGATAATTCTGTTAACAATAATTAGTCAATATCAACATGTCAGGGAATGATAATTAACCAAGAAAATCAAAGCAAACAATCAAAGGGTAGAGATGATCACAACAAGTGGATTGCATAATGCATAATTTCGGAAAAAAATATAGAGTGATTAGGGAATAAGTGAGTGTTCAAGTTGGTTACGCAATAAGCAATTGAAGATGAAGTAGACAGAAAAATAAAATAATTCGAACAATGTAACTTGCAAATGGCTTAGGCGGAGGGCGAAATTGTCAAGTTTCTACCTTCACGTAACGGTGGTTTATAGAGCTAGGATAACCTGGTCAAACAACTCTCTCAATGAGAAGCCTAGGATTATCAGAGAGTTACTTGGTAAAAATGGTCATCCAGATGAGTTCATTGAGAAAAATGTGAATTTAACACCAAGGCAAGTCAGCATGCAACAGCTCCAGGAAAGTCCCTATTCATAAATAAAACTGTAGTTTTCTGGTGATAACATCGGCGAAATAGTAACACATCGCCTAAAGAATGCAGTTGAAAGACCATTCAATGCAGCAGAGGTACGCTGTCTCCTCAAAACCACTCCGATTTAACGTTCGAGAAATAAAGACAAAGGACCTAATATCACCTGCTTTATGTGCATCAAGCAGTTTGATTACTGGTGGGAAACTAGTCACATTGGGCGTAAAATTAGGCAGGTTTATCGTCGTATTTCCGAACACCATCCTGTATGGTTAAACATGGGGTACAAATAAGATCTTTTCGTAACTCTGTTCTAACACACCTTGGTAGACAATGAGTATAAAGTTGATGTTATCAAAACATTAAACGGTACTTATCGCATTCCGACTAATATTAATTTCACTTTACGGGTTCGTCTTCTCCACACAGCTGAACCCACCTAAAGAAGTCAAACCAATGTGTTCAAAAGAGATTCATGCAGCCATTCTCCTCACCTTGTATCCACCGTTACGTGAAGGTAGAAACTTGACAATTTCGCCCTCCGCCTAAGCCATTTGCAAGTTACATTGTTCGAATTATTTTATTTTTCTGTCTACTTCATCTTCAATTGCTTATTGCGTAACCAACTTGAACACTCACTTATTCCCTAATCACTCTATATTTTTTTCCGAAATTATGCATTATGCAATCCACTTGTTGTGATCATCTCTACCCTTTGATTGTTTGCTTTGATTTTCTTGGTTAATTATCATTCCCTGACATGTTGATATTGACTAATTATTGTTAACAGAATTATCTCCACTACATTGATAAGATGTTTTGTATTGTATTAAAAATGCTGTATCTATCTATGAGAGTAGAGTCATAAATGAGGATCTAATTGAAAAGTGAAGATTTCTTCGCTCGGTCAATTCGGAGCGTTTTTATATGTTGAATATGTCGATAAAGTGTTAATATAGAATAACTTAAATTTGTACACTTCGTTGACTGAATAATCTATCAGTGAATTAAGACTCACTCTAACTTTTTTGGAAGTGAAAACTTATTCGTTGAAATTACTATTTGTAGTCACTCTTTAGTACATTGATTTTATTGGACTGAGATGCTTGCCGCAGCAGGCTGAATAGACAATGGATTCGCCAGGTAATTCGTGGGTCCTTGGTTCAGCCCCTACTGGTGGGGTCAGGTTCATGCACTTCTCGGGATTCCCAAACTAGGAGTAAACAGCTGTCTTTGGGTCATCGAGATGTAAGGAAGTAAATGCAGTTCTGTTCTTGTTGAAAGCTGGGATTACCATATTTGGTTCTCTTGGAAACCAGTGTACAGTTACTCAGTCAGCAGGTATGTTACCATTTTCGCATCGATGGTTCAGTGGTAGAATGCTTCCTAACCGCTCACATGGGTCGGGTTCAGTTCCCAGCCGACGTACCGTCAAATGTCGTCTAGCCGGTAGTAAAGTTGGAAAAGAGGTCAGAGCAAACTTGGGGCTTGCAACACTATTACCACTGAAACTCTAAAGGTTGAAGCCCTCTGTTCCATTTGAAATACAAGGGAACAAAGAAAGAAATGCTCGACCTCTGTTTACACGTTGGCTCCTATTTCGGATGCTTCAGTCGATGCCCGAATGGTTTACATGATGTTGTTGTGTTTTCTCAGCTGGATTATTAACTTGTGAAGCCTTCATCTCGTTTTTTTAACAATACCTTGGATGATGATGATAATACTAGTCGGCTGTCCAAACATCATTAGGTAACTTATTGATTAGAAGCTGTTCACCCATATCAATGATGAACTACGTTGTTTGTTTGTTTTTCTGTAACAGTATGAAATATTGGACGTGTTGTAATCAGAAAACTAGTGAATTTGAAGCATTTGTCAAACAAATAGGTTGTACAACAGGACGCCATAACTGGACTGTTGAAGTAAGTTTTTCTTTTTCTTTTAGAGAGAATTTACTTATCTATTTATTTTTGTGTAAACAACTTTATGAGATATCTAGTAGTTCTACTGAGTTTAATTCATTTTCATTCGTCATTAATAATCAAAGTTTTAATGTCAGTTCCATCATGAACAGGAAAACGGGGGACTAGCAGCAAGTATCACTCATGACCTCACCAGGAATTGAACTTACGTATACCAGGTTACTAGATGAACTTGCTGACTATTTAGCAACTGGAATGGAATTCAGTCGGCAGCCAATGTCTTTAGTTAGTATTTGTCCTCACGCTCGAGTCGATGGACCACATTTGTCATAACTTTTCATTAAAATTACAGGATGTCTATCTAGTAGCCACTTGTGAGCAGGTAGGGTTTTGGGTACTCATTTACAGAATAATAATAATCTACTTTATTCCAAAAACAGTACTTATAATACAGAATGGAATTCTCAGCATTTGTCACAATATTGCATCTGATTTACTCAAAATATAAATAAAAGTAAAAATTAAAACAAAATTAACCGGAGGAATTTGTCCACATTTACGACATAAAGTCAAAAATATTCGAAGCACGAATTGAGATTATTAAATATAATAATAATAATATAATAATAACAGTGAGTTTGTTTCAAACGGTATTGTCGATTCAGTTTGGAAACTTTAGCATGTTATAGATTATTGGATCTAATGTTCTGTTGATATAGTATAGTGAGGGGAAATACAAAATTAACAGTTATAATACAGCTTAAATTATGTCCACACTTATGAAAAAAATAATAAACAAAACAAAAATTGAGAGGATTATAAATATAAGAAATACAATAACAATAAAGTTTAATGCTTTAAAGGTGGAGGAAATGGTTTATTTAGTGGTGCTAAGAAGGTTAGTTAGTTCATGCCTGACACTATTTTCATCACATAAAGTACGTGCTAAATATGGTATAGTGGAATTTTTATACTTAGACGTACGTGCATAAAGTCTTCTGAAAAGACTTCTTGTTTTACCTGAGGAGACACAAGGTTGGAGCTGCGGGTAGAGTGGGTGCTCAGAGTCTGACAAAATTCCTTTAGCGAATTTGTTGCATGACATCAAGTGCCTATCAGTGACAATGTCAACGATATGGCCCAATGGGATACAACTCATCCTACTGACAGTCTTTAGAGTTCTACGAAGTATGACATAGTCTTTTTTAAGCAATCCAGGAAAGAATAAGGGTGAACAGTAAAGAAGAATAGGTAAAATACACGAGTTGACAAACTGTAAGAGGAGTGGTTGAGTTATGCCTGAGTGCCTTAATTTCTTAATGTAAAAAGTCAGACGAAATATTCTTTTAGAAATCGCTAAGACATGGGAGGACCAGGATAGGTCAGAAGAGAGAATTAATCCAAGATACTTAACTTCAGACTTGGTTTCTATATCAGTATCATCAATTTTGCAAGGGTCATAGGAACCAACGGCTTCATTTAACTTTCGTTTACATCGGAAACTGAAATTAACAGTCTGACATTTGGAAGGATTGAGTTTAAGGCCGTTAGACGAAGACCATTTTCTAATTCCTGATAGAAAGCTGTTTATCTTAGTACAGTCAAGCTGGGAGTTAACAGACATTGAAATAGTTAGATCATCAGCATACTTAACAAAGTTCATTTCATCAGAGTGAGGCAAGTCATGCAAGAAAAAAGAAAACAGAAAAGGAGAAAGGACAGCGCCTTGAGGGACACCTGCCTCAGTAAGCAATGAAGTGGACGACTTTCCCTGACATACAGTGTATTGCTTTCTTTCTGAGAAATAAGAATGGAGCCATTTGACAACCCAACAGTCAGTTTGAGTTTCAGCAAGCTTGTTTAGTAAAATGTCCCTAGGTACTGAGTCGAAAGCAAATGTATAATCTAGAAAGGTGCAGCGAACAAATTTAGCCCCCTTGTCCAAGCTGGAGACAATGTTATAATGCAAGACTGCAACCGCATCTAAAGTACTTCTACTGTGTTTGTAGGCGAATTGTTTGGGATCAGTAAAGACTTTAAGTGAAGGTTGAAGATTAATTAGCTTTTAGAAAAGGGGAAGTAATAGCAATGAGTCTAAATTTAAAACATATTGCAGTAGACGACTTAGGTATAGGTACAATTTTAATGTCCTTCCAAGCGGCTGGCACGACATTACTGGAAAAAGATTCATTAAATATGTCCATGAGAGGATAACACAGGATATCTGCACAATTTTAAGAATAACACTAGGCAAACCGTCTGGACCCAGGCTACAAGGAGGGTTCAGAGACTGGAGACATTTCAGAACATCATTTGTATTAAAACCAGGGAAGCGGGTTTCTTTAACACTTGTAACACTAGAGAGATTGGCATTTGTGGGAGAATGTATGAAGGACTTGTTTAGTGTGCAGACATCAAGGGAATAAGGAATACTGTTCATCTGCTTACCACCAGTAATTTCTTTGAAAAGTTTCCATATATTAGACGCATTTTTACAGGATATAAACTTTTGGTATATATAATAAAGAGTCTCAAACTAGGATGAAACGAATGTGTTCAGTACACTACTCCTCGATGGTTTTTCAATGTTTCTCTAACTAGTGTTAGTTATTTCGTTATCTAAATTGAAATCAGTGTATATCTGTATTTTTCTTTCCTTCTTTTGTAGGATGCTAAATCGACTAATTTAGCGCTAACAGTCCAGTCGAGCGTGAATTGTCGTTTTGATTGGTATCAGTCAGGTGGTTTAATCACCCTAAATATTTATGCCAAGAATATATGGCCTGAAACTGTATCAATCAAGGCGAATCAAGTATTCCTATGTGTTTCATTAAAATTTGGTTTGGATTATCAATTATTCACAAGAGATTTTAATTTATTCGGTGTAAGTTTTGCTGTCTCTTTTTTCTCTGTTCCCCTCACCATAATCTAAGAAAATGTTGAGAGAACCTAGTCATTCCCACGAAACAATTATAACCCATTGTCTATACTGATTGCTTGTTCAGAGAGGAAACATATCACTTCATTTAGTAGTCACTTATGCGTTATTGGTTCAATAGGAGGAATGCTGCCTATTCACGCAGGAGGTCCGAGTTCGATTCCCGATCCTCTTAATCCTAAACTTTGCCTAGTGTTTACTAATACGTAGATAGTAAGTCTGGGAAAGGGGGAAGGTTGAGTGTGAAGGGTAGCTACGCCGCTTCGTAAAAATCACAACACGTCTACTGAAACTTCAGGCCAACTTATGACATCTCTGGCTTAGTAGACTATATCACAAAGGGAGTGTGTACTGCTCAGTAGTAGTCCCTGTCCTCTTATACTGTGAACATGGCATTGAAAGTGGGACACATGAAAAGACCAGCTAGTTGTCTTTGACCATAGATGTCTGCGTTCTATCTCCCGTGTTAAGTGGTGGTATAATAAGGTGAGCAATATTGAGGTTAGGCATCGGTCTAGTGCTAGGTAAGGAGGGGAAATCAATCAACGAAACTGTGAAGTAACACCGATTGAGATGGTTAGGACATGTGTTACGCATGCCTAGCCATCACCTTTCTTGACGGGCACTGTTAGCTGACATGGAGTCATGTTGGAAAAGAGCTCGTGGTGGTCAAACCAAAACATGACATCAATCAATCTAATCACAACAGTTCGTCTAAGCCACGTAGGGAGGTTTAGATTTCCTGGTTGGGTTCCTCAGGATGATAAAAACCAATGGCCGGAGACAATTGGTGATATGGCTAAAAATCATTCTCGATGGCGCAGATGCATCCACTCCTTGTGATTTATAATATCCAATAAAAGTATTTTTCCGTATTACTATTCTTTTTGCCTCATATCTCTGTTTATTGCCTCTCTTTTGAATCTCTCCTTACTCCCTTTCGTGCTTTCTTTGCTACGTTGAGTGTGGCAACTCGAACTGCTATACTTCAGTGCAAATTTGTACACCATAATCCACTTTGTGAGTCAGGTACGAGAAAACATTATAGTATAATACCTAAGTACTGCATCCGTCTGAGCTGCCCTGAATCTTCTCTATCATTTCAAATTCTTACAGGTGGACAACAGATTTTTTTTTCTTTAGTAATTAGATGAATATGATGTGTAAGTGATAGGTTGGGAGGAATAATGAATAATGAAGTGTGTTTTTTTAGGATAGACAATAACTGATGACCATTTGTTCTAACTACCAACGAGTGTCGTCTCTAAAAGTTATTCGAAATATCACCTTTTATAAGTAAATTGTTAATAGTAATAGGGATTAATCATCTTGACTATTTTCCCAACTATTTCTAAGATGATAACACTTTTCCATATTGAATCGAAGTGCTCAGTCTGTGTTGATATGTTGGCTCCCAGTAAATGAACGATTCAACTGATATCTGTTGCACAAAATGTGGCTGTAGTGGCCTATTGAATAACACTAATGGTTGAGTTCAAATCTCAGTTGAAAGGAACACCACCGATCACTCGACGGATACAGGTATATCCGGCTGACAAATCCGAGGTAGGCTTCCACTGTTAGCCATCACCAACCAAATGGTGACACTTCAAAGGATAAACATGGTTATTAGGTTTTTTAGTATTCAAGTAAAGTCAGTTTGTTATGTGCATCACCTTATGTTAGATTATAAAGTGACATCAGTTAGAGAATCATTGAAAACTACGGCTGTTTGGTCCTGGTTTAGGACCCTTCTGCAGTAGGTACTCTATGACCTCACCGCTAAGGATCAAGCCAAAGACCTTTAAGTTGCGAGGCAATTGAAAGGAAATCCCATAACCCATGAATTCCGGTATCCCCTGGTTCCCAGTGATTCTTCAACTGATGTCATTTCGTGATCTAACTTCAAATCAATCAAATGCCCGCAAACCAACACTTGTCAAAGAAATTGGCTTATTTTTGATTTCAGCATATAATAATAATAATAATTTGCTTTATTCCAAAACATTACATGTGATACAGAATGGAATTCTCAGCATTTTTTACTATAGTATTGCATCCAGTTAGTACATTATCAATAAATAGAATTCTACATAGATTAAGGAAATCACAGTTCATTATGACAACAACATATTGGCATGTCGGTAGCAAAGGTAAAGCTGAGACAGTGTTTGAAGGTGTTAGAAAAGTAGGTGCTGTCATATTTACTGGCGTAAGCGAGAGAAAGAAACAAAGCAGCATATAACGGAAAAAGAAGAGAGAGAAAAGGAAAAGAAAGAAAGAAAATTTTGTACCTATTGATGATGTGAGTTGGAAAGACGAGATCCAGTTGTACTACTGACTATTTAATGAATTATAGGTGTCACGCTTAATGCTTTCTTTATCGCACAGAACACGAGCTAAGTAGGGTATGGTTGAGTTTTTGTACTTGCTGGTGCGATCATATAGTTTTCTATATAGGCTTCTGGTTTTGTCTGATGAGATGCAAGGGGAGAGTTGTGAGTGACGAGGGTGGTGTGAGTTAGATAAAATGGACTTGGCCCATTTCTCACAGGAGTCCATGTGCCTGTCGACCAGAATATTAACAAGCTGGTTAAGTGGCACGTTGCTTACCCTGCTGACAACCTTTAACATCCTGCATAATAAGGTATAGTCTTTCTTCAGTAGCCCGGGAAAAACTAAGGGGGAACAATAGAGAATAATAGGCAGAATGCGAGAGTTAACGAATTGTAGGAGTAAGGGTTGGGTTATACCAGAATGTCTTAACTTCTTGATGTAGAAGGTAAGACGGAATATTTTCTTAGAAATCGCCAAGATATGAGACGACCAGGAGAGATCAGCAGATAGAATGACGCCTAGGTATTTAATTTCCGACTTGGTTTCTATTTCAGTGCCATCCATGTTGCACACCTCGTGAGAGCCAACCAGTTTGTTTAGGTCAGATTTATGCCTAAAGGTGAAATTGACTGTTTGGCATTTGGAGGGGTTTAGGGTAAGACCGTTTTCCTTGGACCACTGGCTGATTTCTGATAGAAAGCCATTAAGTTTAGAGCAGTCGCTTTGACATTTGACAGGCAAAGATACAGTCAGATCGTCAGCATATTTGACAAAATTAATGTCATTCGAAGATGGTAAGTCATGTAGAAAGAAAGAAAAGAGAAGTGGGGAGAGTACAGCGCCTTGGGGGACTCCGGCTTTAGTGAATACAGCAGAGGATGATTTACCTTTGTATGCGGTGTACTGCATTCTGTTAGAGAAGTAGGAATGCAGCCAGTTAGTGACCCAGGACTCGGTTTTTGTCAAAGAGAGCTTATTTAGCAGGAGACATCTAGGTACAGAGTCAAAAGCAGAAGTGAAGTCAAGAAACGTACAGCGGACGTATTTGGCACCTTTATCTAATGATGAGACGATGTTGTTGTGTAAGACAGCTGCAGCGTCTAAAGTACTCCTACCCTGTCTATAGGCAAATTGTTTGGGGTCTTCGAAGTTTTTAAGGGAGGGTTCGAGTTTAACAAGTATTAGTTTTTCCATAAGCTTTAGAAGCGGGGAAGTGATGGCAATGGGTCTGAACTTTACGTTCTTGCCGTTTCCAGGTTTAGGGACAGGGACAATTTTGATGTCTTTCCATGCATCAGGTACGATATTTTTGGAGAAAGAAGCATTTAGGATGTTGGTTAGTGGAGAACACAACGCATCTGCACATTGTTTTAGAACATAGGCAGGTATACCATCAGGGCCAAGGCTACGTGAGGGCTTGAGCGTTTTAAGACATTTTAGAACATCGAGAGTATTAAAGTCATGAAAGTTTTCAGCTACATGATAGGTAACATTAGAAGTAGTTAAAGTAGAAGGACAGCGTATAAAAGACTGATTAAGAGCATTAACATCATAAGAGGGAAAAGCATTACAACGCTTACTATTACCAGTAATTTCATTAAAAAGTTTCCACATGCTGATTGGAGATTTACATGATAAGTGTATCATTATAGATAGCAGTAAGATTTTTGATTTCAGATTTGATCTGAGCATTAATCTTTTTGAGTCCTAACTTGTCTTTGGATTTGTATAATGTGTCTTTTTGCCTGCGAAGTTGTTTGAGATAAGGAGATGAGAAGCGTTCGAGGCGTTTGAATAATGTTTGTTTGGGACAGCATATATCAAGGCAGAACTTAAGATAATCCGTTATGTTGACAATTGTGTCATCTAATGAACTTTCATGGAATAAATCCCAGTTAGTATTTTGTAACATGCACCTTAGATTGAGTAAGTTGTCGGATGAGTAGCATCTTTGTTGTGCTTTCATAGACAGATGTGCGAAGACTTTAATATGTGTTTTGCTGTATATTTTTGGTAGAACACGAACAATAGAGTAATCAGAGTTGAGGATCGGTGCACGTTTACGTGCTTCATAGATTCCTTCGTTATTTGTAAAAACTAAATCAAGTGTTTTATCTAGTCGAGTGGGAAATTTGACAATGTTAGAGTGACCAAGTGCTTCAAGGATGCATAACTTTCCTATGGAATTGTGTTCTTTACAGTCCAACTTTTCTGTTAGCTTAACTTGTTTTTTTTGAGTTTTGATGCTAATACTGAAGCTATTTGGTTATCTGAATTTTATTCCTTCATTTTTACTTTCGGTAATCATATCTGTAAATCAATAAAATGATTACTTACTGAAATAATGATTTGGTTAGGATTCGAATCTCGTAGGTTACCTGGAATGCCATTCCGGAGGTTGCATGTTTGCGTCCCGCTGGAGATCCCATGTTCGCCTGCGGTTCATCGGTGGTTCAATGTTAAAGTGCTCGCCAACCACACGGCAGGTCTGGGTTCAATTCCAGGTCGACACACTGTTAAAACCCTCTCGTAGTCTGTAATAATCAAGGGAAGGTTGGGCGTGATGCTAACAACCTTGCCCTGTAAGAAGCAACACCACCGATACTGAAGCTTTAAGCCCTATGCTCTACTCCGAACACAGGAAATAAGAAACAGTCATCTGGTAGAGCGTCGAACCAGCAGCTATGTCGTAGCTACTTCGAATCCTGTCGTCACTCGACCTTCAGTTATCACCCATTATATATTATTATAATCCGTTAAAACTGTATTTTTTTACAAGTAGTATTTGGTTTTGTTTTTATCACCCTGATCTATTTCTTTCATATTTTTATTATTAAACTTCAGGTTATAGATCCACAAAAGTCAACTGTCAAGCTAATGCCAATGAAAGCTGAAATTATATTAAAGAAAGCTGAACCAATATCATGGTCTAAATTGGAATGTAAGTCGTTAGAAGATCAGGAGACAATGGCAAATGCTGGTGATAAAGCAATTTGAAAGCAAAAACAAATTGTTCAGAAAACCTCTTCCTTTCTCTGTCTTCTATGCATCAGTTGTTAAATTTTCAATGGAAAAACTCGGTGGATTTGCAACTCTGTTGAAAATCTGTGTATAATCTTAATGAAGATGATAATGACAATATATGGTTTCATTGTGTACTGTTCGTATGCTTTGCAGACCAAATAGAAAAGACCTTTTAAGACCAATTTAAGTTTTCTTTTTTTCTTCAGAGGGTTTTTTTTATTCATTTCAATGTGTTCCAAGTGGAACACATATATACGTTTCTTCTGCAAAGTTTGCAGGCATTTCTCTTTGTCTGTTCTCATCATGGAGCCTAACAAATTTTCTCATATAATGAGTTTTCTGTTTTTTTTATTTCACTGTCAAAAGTATCGGTTGTGCAGATTTTTCTAGTACGAAAAATCTAAGTACTAATGAGATTTCGTTTATATTCAAGAGGAACAAACGACTTGTAATTGGCCAACCCATGACTTCCTCCGGAAAATACCCCGCCTAATACTGCTATTTTACCTTCTTGTTAGCAGAACATCAAGAAATGATAAAGTGTTGTCGTTCTCTGCTTCGCATATGAACTTAATTTGTGGGTGAGCCATATTGAACGTTTTGAGAAGGAGCTCAGTATCAATTTTTCCTTATGCAAGATAAGAGTATCTACAGTAGAACGAGTTCGTTGATTACGTTCTTGAGTGGACGATTCTCTAATTTTTCCATAAACGTATCGCCTAAGAGAGGACCTAGAGGGGAGCCTATTGCCACGCCCTCCACTTGACGGTAAAATTCGTTGTTAAACTGAATCTGCACATTCATCGTACAACGGAGTAGCAGTTCCCGTAGCGTTTGAGGTGGTGTACCTACGTCCACACCATTTTCTATAAGGGATTCACAGATGAAGTCGATGGTCTCTAATAAAGGGACATTAGTGAACAGGGAGGTGACATCCATAGAGATCACCGTCTCATCACTGATCTTATATGTCACCGTGCCTATAAATTCGGTGTCATTTAAGATGTACTTAGCCACTTTTAGCTGCAATCGTTTAAGTAGGTCTGCCAGCCATCTAGCTACTTCATGATATTGTGAGTTAAACATGTTTAATATTGATCTCATTGGCAAGTTGGGCTTGTGAATTTTAAGCATACCCATATATTCTGGGTAGATTTGTTCCTAAAGGCTTTAGACGTTCGAGAATTTGGGTAGATAATATATAACTGGATACCAAGGCTATCAGTATCACTTAGGAATTATGAAACTCAGATTAGTGGAGCTTTTTTTCTAAATATGAACCTCTTCGGTATTTGAGTAAAAAAGGTGTGAACATTACTTAAAACAATATACAGTCAAGAACCATATTTATGTACAATTTTATGTTGTCTCATCTCGAATTCATTACATTCGTCCTTATAAACAAGTATCCCTTCTAAACAGAAGTGACCAACGAATTATGATATCCAGCATGTTACTAAGCTTCATTCACATGTACATTGTAATTAGTGCAGATGAAAATAAACAGCCAAATATAATGACATCGTTTTTATGCTGTTTAGTTGTTTATTCATGAAGTAATAGTGTTTTCATTTTCTGAGTCATCTAGAATATAAAAGACAACCCACCGAATAAGATATTCTTTATGGACAAAATCATCTTCAGAAGCTGTACAAGTGTATTTAAATTCTGAACAACCGCTTATCCAGATCACTGACAAAAGCTTTTTTTCAGTTAAGCTACCTCTCAGTTTCTTCAGTCAGCAAATGATCAATGAATATGTGAAGGACAAACTTTTGCTTTCAGTCTGTGTTTATAAATTCACTTTCTCCTGTGGATCTAGTTATATTGGTTCTACAAACGGCGCACTTTCCTAATGCGTCCGTGAGCCTTCTCTGTCATGGCTATCAAGAGGACAATACAAATCGATTACTAGCTCAATTGTAGAGCACCTGATGCACTCAAGTCATGCAACTCCACCACAGTTGTCTCATCTACAAAGTGAAACCGAATGGTGCATTGGTTGTCAGGTTTCGGCATTTGTGTATGGCGGAGGCACTTACGGTGTACTAAATATTATTCGGATTATACTATAATACTATAGTATATCCATGTTTCACGTTCTATGATGTGCCAAACGCTGTACACAGCCAAAGACGAACAACGTTGTATTAAGAAGCACAAGTGAAAAGTTGAAAAAATGTATTATTAACGAAATCAAATTTTGAAGAGCACGGGGCAAACATACAAGGGTGTAACCGCGCAATATATATATATATATCATGGTCTTAAACTCTTTCCTACTAGTTCGCTTCTATTTTTAGTAAGTAATTCACTGTAATCACTCTTACACATCTTTTTTGTGCACCTTGCGAAGTGTTTTTACTCACCCTTTTCATACTTATCAAGTCGACAGTCAACTACCCTACTTCTCATCGAATAACAATTTTCAAATTTGAAGCCCTCACTTCCACGACGTAGTTGACTATTACGTAACTTTTATCTTTATAAACCACTTGCGAGTAACTGTATCAGTTATTTCACAAATACACACCTCAATTATTGAATAAAATACTACTACATACATTGTTTGATAAATAGAAATATGATTGTACAGAATCTAGATATAATTTCTTCGATAAAGAACATTTTCTTCATTGTAATGTCATTTCCTTTTTAACTTTTTCATGTTGTCGTCATTTCTGCGTTGAATGTTTTCGTGACGAAGCTCGTAGTGTTCATCTTGGTATAAAATTTAACTAGAACTAAAACAAATAGATTGAACCGAATTAAATAAATTTCAAATTAACAAACTTCTAGCTTGATAGGATCCATCATCAAATAGTATATCATCCTTTCTCACGAATCGTGTGATTTATCCTGTGATGGAGTTACTATGTGAATCTATCATTTCTCACTCATATCGTGAGTTAGATCATCGTCTTTTGTCTCGCCTTGATCTGTGTCGGATCGCCAGCCAGTGAGAATAGTCATTACCAGCCAATAAGACAGTCCATTCTCATGGCTGTGAGCCGGCTTTATATGTATCTGTATAAATATGACGTTTTGTTTCCTAATAAATTTACAATACAATATCTTACAGTTAGGCCAGCCTTTGTCTTTAGATATTTGCGTGCCTCAGTGAATCGGAAGGTACAACGGACAAATAGGCATATTAGCGTACCAGTCGAGTTCATTACCGTTATAACAATTAGCAAGCGCAGACATAACAAATTGGCGATGCAGTTTATTCCTTTCAGAGCAGTTATAACATAGCTCACCTTCGGATGTTTAAAGTATTTTAAGTTTTGTTTCAACAAGGCTGTCTTGACGCCATTGTTCACTTTCACCTGCGTTGCTTAACACGTGTGCATAGTTCTAGAATTCCTAGTTCAGTTATATTGGATAGATTAGTTGAAGAAAACATTTTGGTTGATAGCGAATACCGATGGAATCTGGGATATACCATTCTTCTCATTTGGGACGCGTCAGCCGTATGTATCTGCGTTTCCACTGTGAGCGATGGTTTTCCGAATGAAACTCTAACACTGCATTTCAAATACCGAAGCGCTACGTACTATGACCACGACAACCATCTCATTTGCAGCGATGGTTATTGTCTTGTTGACATGTCAACACAGAGACCGAGTATCTCTCACCAACATAATCAATCAACTGGAAATGTGAACTAACCTAAAAATGATATAGAGAAGACATTCAGCGAAGAGACTCTTTTCGGCGAATTCATTCACATAGCTGTACAATCGCATTTATATATAAATATTTTTGTGTGTGTGTGTTACATGAGGTTTGTCAAGTTTAGATAATTGATTAGTTAATACAAGAATGATGTAGTATAGAGACAAAGTTAATCAGACAGCAACTAAAGTAAGACTGAGTTAAAAAACTAGATAACGTAATATAATTGGCTAAAATATTACAACTTAGGTCAGGATAGCAACAGAGGTAGTTACAGGTAGGGATTAAGTAGAAGTGAAATTGAGTGAATAAGTTGGATGACGTAACATGAATGACTAGAAACTGAGCGTTGTTCAAGTCAGTAACAGTGGTAGTGGGGTGTAGAATTAATCGGTGGGGGTAGAGAACAAGAAAGTTGAAAATAGAAAAGGCGTTCAGCAAAGAGTTACTCTTTTCGGCGATATCATTCTCAAGCTGTACAAACCGCAAATTTATAGTAATTTTTCTTGGCAACAAAAGGAATATTTCCAAAGATGCAATTGTTAATTTTTGACAACAAATTACGTAATTTAGAAGGCGTTAATCGGTTAGAAACTAAAATGAAGTTACAAAAGTAGGTTGGGTGACGTAATCTAATTGCTAGGGTTCAATGAAAAATGAAAGAGAGTCAAGTTAATAATCTGAGTAGAATTCACTTAAACATAAACGAAAATGGAGTTAGCAACAGTCGTCATGAGGGTAGAGATTTAATAGAGGGTGGGGGTAGAAAATAATGCTATTAAGAAACAGACAAACAAAGAAGAAAGAGGTAAGACAAAATTACGTATTTGGTGTTGAGATAGATCAGGACCATTGTAGATTTAGTGACTGAACAAACTTCTTTTGTATGCAGAGTTCAGGATTCAATATGTGAATTGCCATTGCTTCTGCAGTTTGAAGAAGTTTAATTCGTACTCTTTTGGCAAGATTCCCACGTATTGTGTAGATAATTGAGAAGTTGTTTTGTGGGTTTGCTTGGTGTCCGGATTCGATCAAGTGTTCTAGGATAGAGCTGTGGCGGGGGGATCTTCTTTCTCCTTTATAAAACCATGAAGGTAAGTGTTCGCTGATTCGTTTGGATAGCAAACACTGGGTACGGCCGACATACCTAGCTCCACATGAGCAGGTGAATTGGTAGATGCACATTGATGAGGCCCCCAGTGGAAGCTTATCCTTCACGTTCGTGCGAATCATTGGTTTCGTAGAGAAAGTTAGTCTGAGTTCGGCTGCGAAGAAGGTTTTCTTCAGTGAGCGGCACAGGCGGTTTCTCAGTATTTCTGCTGAAGAATCTCCGTTGAATTGTAGATTCAAATAGAGGAGTTTCTTGGGAGCAGTGAGCATGGACGGTTTTTGTGTTTTGGGCTTCATGGCTTTTGTGATGAAACGATCCGGGTAACCGTTTTCAAGGAGGATTCTTTTCAGGGTCTTCAGCTCCTCTTCTATGGTTTCCGGACTGCAAATGTTGTGGATTCTGTGAGTCAGTGAGCGGATTAGATTTCGTTTTGTATATAGAGGCACCCAACTGTAAAAGCTGATGAGTTGTCCATTCCATGTCGGTTTTCTGTGAATGGATCTTTTGAGTGTCCCATCTTGTTCGCGTCTTGCTAGTTGCACGTCCAGAAAAGATATTGTTGCGTTGGACTCCTTCTCTAGTGTGAACTGGATTGCTGGATGGCAACTGTTGAAGAAGTCCAATATGTTCTCCAAATTTTCCTCATTATTGGCGATAATGAAAGTATCGTCCACGTATCTCTTGTAGAACCCGAAGTTATCTATTGTCTTCTTTAGGTGTGTATTTTCTAGTTTTGACATGAAAATATCTGCAAGCAGCGGGCCGAGTGGTGAGCCCATAGCTATACCATCTTTTTGTCTATATATTTGATTATTGAAAGTGAATTGGACGTTTAGAGTGAGAGAAATACAAACAGACATATAAAAAGGACATGCAGAAAATTAGGTATATGTATTACCTCAGACTGTGAATTTAATTCAGTCCTTTCATTTGTGTTTCGTTATGAGTACTTAGAAGCTGTATAAACTATTGACTGAACGGGAACTAGTGCAGTATGCCAATATCATAGACTGTCACTATGATGGCTAAGCACACCTGTATTTCAATTAAACTTTCTCATATTAATAGCTTTAACTCCACCGAGATCACAGTCAGTCAGCTTACCATAGCCTTTATCTAGTGCAAATGAAAAATAATTACTAGAAAGTTAATAGAGGTGATTATGTAACATTCATGTTCTGTTTATCCTTCTAACATTAAGCACTATAGATACGTGTGTAAGCGTTTTATAATCTGGATAAATAAAATCATTGTGTAGAACTTACCTAAAATATTCCATGACCTTATGTAACAGACGTTGTGTTTGTTCAGAGAACTAAATTTTATCCAGCTGACGAAGTCAGTCTTGAAACGTTAGAAGACGAAGACTTGGTAAAGGCATGTTCGTTTAGGAAATTGGTGTCTCTATATAACCGAATTACGTATACCTTATCCTCAACGCACAACTTGCACAGATCTACGTGTTGTGGTACTTCTGGACTTCACTTTGTGTTCCTTCCACGTCTCCCATGTATCTCCACAACGCTGTAACATTTGCCTTCTGTGAAATCAAATGCATCTCCCTGCTATTTGATGTTTTTATGCTGATGAAACGGCTGTTTATATACTACTGATGAATCTTATCAGTAGCACTCGCCACAATCTGAGTGATTACAATACAATGATTTAAAATAATAATTCTCTCTAGTTAACTTGGATAGCGTTATTAGAAGATAGCGTTTATCTGAAAATTGTGGTGTAGTATTTGAGCAGTACATTTCGAGCAATCTAGTCACACATATATTTAGTTATTAAATCAATTCACAGATGGAAAATGATAGAGCACTTAAATTAAACGAAATGATAAGAGATTTAAGAATGCAAAAAAGATAACAATTAACACTGCGTTTGGTGATATAATTAGATAAGGCTGATGTGTCTATCTCTCACATCCTGTGATTTGACCGCTAAGGTGCCTTTTTAGTGTATTATAGTGTTGATGAAATTATCGTGATATGCAATAATCATGAACACGAGACTCCTGTACTGGATAGACTTAATTCTGTATAAAATCACTTAAGTCTTACATTTGAAGAAGAAGAATGTTTGTGTAAAATCCACTTACATACCTGGACATACTTTTTAGTTGGAAAGAAGACGATTCAATAAAGTGGTCAATTTACAGAAAGTCTATTTAGACAAGGCAGTATTTAAATTTCCAGTTTCCGTCCATTATGATATAAGGGAGGCCGATTAAAATGCTTATTTAAGAGGATTCTCTTCATCTCTACAACTGATGTGATAGACGATGAAAATAAACTATTGATGGATACTCTTGTAGAAAAAAAGGAGAATTCTTTGAACCCTTAAGCTACCTTGATAATCCTTATTTGATTCTGTTACCAAGATTAGTGTAGTAATTATTATCCTTCATATTCTTAAATCTCTTATCATTTTGTTTATTTTAATTCGCCTTTCATGTAAGGTGATTTGACGAGTAAATGTGTGTATGATCAGAGTGTGTATTTGAAGTGTATTGTGCAAATACATCACATCAAAATTTTCACATAAACTGCGTCTTCTACTAACGCCAACAGAAACTAACATGTTTATCAGAATTAGATGCATTAGCAGAAATTTTAAATGATAAAATATTAAAAATTAATGATCATAAATTTCTTTTTTGCAATATATTTTGATTAAACTGAGTATTATTCACATTCATATTATTACTAATTATTACTGATTATTTTGCTTCGTAATATCAAAATACGATTAGTCTGTTGAAGTAATCTTTGAAGTTGTCTTCTTCGTCTTACCAACTGTATGCGTAAATCTTTTAATACGTCGTTTCGGTATAGTCGGTGTTGCACTCGTAGTTGTTGTTGTTGTCGTCGTCGTCGGTGTTTTTGGAAGTGTAGGTGGCTGTGGCGGAGCAGAAGGACGAGGAGACGATGGAACAGAATGAGGTGAACTAATTGAATCATTTGGTTGAAATCGATTTTTTGTTGTTCCACAAAGATTTATATGCTCTAATCCATAATATTCTGCGAGAAATAAAACAATGTAGGGAGAGAGAAAAAGCATCAATGATTACGCAAGTAAAATATGAAAATATTGTCTCACATATGTTATCATTGATAACGACTTAATCAGTGATAGGCGAAATTCAATCAAAAATTAATTTCATCACCTGCTAGAGGTGAAAATTCCCCATAATTTCTCTCCCCCCCCCAAAGCTGACTTTAATATGGTGCATCACTGATGAGCTCAGACTCATACAACGGAAATAGCCATCCAGCGTTTAAATCCTTTCAATCGAGCTGCCACGTACTACTACTCAACGCGTGTAACTCTCAACTACACATATCAAAGAGTAATATATGTCATCCTGAAAATCCTTCACTTGGTCAGTTAATTATTTATGGCGGTTAACTACAATTAGTAGACCGTGCGTTCGAACACTGTTTCGCTGAGGTATGCTTGAGGACATTACAGTTGTAAAATGATTGACGAATAGCGATTATCAGTCACCAGTGTCGGTTTCTCAGACTGACTACTGAAATAAAGTAGAGATACTCAGGTGAGTTGAAAGTGTATTCACAAACAAGACGCTTATTATTATTCCCTTGGGTTCAGAGTGGAACATAGGGCGCGAACAGCATACCTCCAATTCACCCTTTTCTCCGTAGCCATTTTATGCGGCACCATGATTGCACTTAGGCCTTTATTTCTTCCTTACACTATCTCCTCCATGGCACACCCGGCCCACATCCAAATCGTCATTTCCCATTCGGGTTCCATTCGATCAATGGCCTGGCTGCGATGTCATCCAACAGTCTCCTCAGCGTCTGTCCGATCCCTCTCCATTTTCTTCTGCATATTTGTTGAGCAGTAGGTTATTGGTTGGTTTATTCTCAAAGTTTCTTATTGCTAATTCTTTCCAGTTGGCCATCTGATCTTCACTATGGAGTGAAGGCAGCTTCTGATAAAAGTTTGAAGCTTATTCGAAATACTTTTGGTGACACACCGAGTTTCTGAACCATACAGAAGAACTGATTGACTTGGCATCACTGTTAGAAATCCGAATCTTGTTTTTTATACTGAGTGCAGAAGATTTCCATACTGATTTCAGATTAGTGGAAATCTGTATTGCTTTTCTGACTGTAGCTTTGATATCCTCATCGGCGCCTCCTGTATCTGAAATAACGGTGCCCAAATAAGTGAAATAGGTAACTTCTATTAGATTTCTGCCATCGATAGTGATTGATGCTTGTTGTTGCTGGTTAGGTGTCTTCACCACATCTGTCTTTTCTATGTACACTCGACGTCCTGTCTTCTGTGCTTCTTTTACCAACTTGTTGGTTTTCGTCTGTGTGTGTGACATGAAACATAAATCGTCTGCGAAGTCCAAAAATCTTCTAGTGTCTTCTTGTCGGTTCAACGTATGGCAGTTTTTTCGCTCCCCGCAGTCTGGTGCATGGTCCAGGAATATCATTATAATAGTAGGCAGTCTTGTCTTATTCTTTTCTTCGTTTCAAACCCTTTACTTAGCGTAGCACTCAGTAAACTTTAATTAGTCCATTTTTGGACAAGTCATTCGAACTATATGTCAGTGTACAGATCGTTTTAATGCGTGTTGTATGACCTTCAGGTGGACAATGACGATGCTTTTGTCCAATACACTATTATCTCAGAAGTTTTAAGTTATGTCATATAAAGATAAACTGTCTTCTTCGACACAATTTTAAACAAACGAACGCTAGAGAAATTGACTGTTCTTTCATTTGGTGGAGAATTCCACACTATCAGCCACCATCAGTCAAATGATGTCGTATTCATGATCAGGCAAATTCCCCTGCAAACCAACACTTGAAAATCAATCACAATGATCGCTAGTGACTGACTAAAGGATGAACTTGCCTGTGGAAAGTCATGACCAGCGGAATCCACCAAACTCTGTGTGAGGACAGATGCTCACCGAGGGTAGTGACTGTCAGTCGTGTAATATTTCGCGAACTATTAGATGTTGGAATTCATGAGTCACTGGATTTTGTCCAAGAGATTGAATGGTATATAAGCTCGTCCTGTAACCTGAAGGTCCTGGCATTGACCACGAGTGGGTGAGGTCATAAGTGTGTACTTATGAAGAGCCCCACACAAGGACGAGACAACTGTCCAGTACTTCCTGGTGATTTTCAATGGTCCTCTCGCTGAAGTCATTTATTTTGATTCCTGATAAGATCCACCTTAAAAAGGATCAAAATCTCTTTTTAAAACCTAATATACATTAGTTTTATTAGGTTACTTATAAGTTACTCTGTATGAGATAAGGGTTTCCCTAAGTCCTGATGAGAAGTCATGATAGTTGACTGATGAAGCTTTCTACAGATCAAGAAAAGTCAAAGATTACTAGTAGTTCAATGATAAAATCATCGCTTGGTAATCCAAAACCTCTGAGTTTGGTCTTTCATATAGCTGTGGATGTAGACGCCTAAAAGAAATCAAAGCAAAACAAACAATTTTCAAGAGTTCCCTGGTCGATATTTATTCCTAAATCGAATCTACCTTTCAATAATTAATGCTCAACTTGTAAGGAGGAAAAATGTTGGAATCAAAAAATACAAAGCAACTAAATGAAATCATAAGAGAAAGATAATCATATCAACATTGAAATTATTCAGAGATTTTTCAAAACATCAAGTTGGAGAATAGTGATCCCAAAGATCTTGAAACTACCAGTCAGAGTAAATTAGAATAATTTAGGCACAAAAAAGTAGAGTTTTTTCGCGACAAGTACATTTAAGACAGTTTGAGAATATTGAATTGTTTCCCCACTTGATAATGTCGCATGAACAATTTCCATTTCTAAATAGAAGTGTTGATATTCATTCAAATGCTTATCATTCAACTTGAGCAGGTGGAGTTAAGAGACAACACCTCCCTGAATTAAATCTACTCTAACAGCGGAAACCATAAAGAATAGATATCACTGCCAAATTATCTTGAGCGAACCATTCAGATTGCTCACCAGTCAAAATGATTGCTGTACACGAGCTTCGTTATAAATTTCATCCTGACTTAGTTTTTTGAGTAAGGCGTGAAAAATGGACTGATAGCAAAGGTTTAACCTCATCATGCGAAGGGGATATGACTCTTTCAGAAGTAATGGCAGGGAATTGATGGTTTGTAGTACTTGTTATGACTGGAAGTTGGCAAGAGCCGGTAAGCAGTACATTATGGCGATTTTTTGGATGCTTTCTTCTCTGATTCCGTCACATTGTCACAACCGGCTGTTGAAAAGTCTAGTGTCTACTACTGTTGTGAAAACAGAGAGTAGTAAGGTGTCAAGAGTGCAAGAGTATCAGTACTGTCAGGATGTTCCATCCAAAAAGATGAATCGAATTACTGTTGCACTCGAAGGAGTTGCTGTGGTTGTTCATACGGATGAAGTCTTTCCTATCAAACATAAATGCATTCTAGACAGATAACGAGCAAACCAAGTTTGGCTCTTGGGACTTTATGATACTACTTTGAGAAAAGGCTCCACACAAAGGATTCTAAACAGCGCTGCTGATGTTTACTACCAATAAAACAACAGTTGACCGTCCCAGATGCCATTGTTCACACAGATGAATGGAAAGGATGTTCCCACTTATCATCATTAGGTTATATTCACCATAAAGTCAATCATTCCTTAGGTTTCGTCGATCCAATAACTGGTCCCCACACTAATTCCATAGGATGATTTTAGACGCATGTTTAAAAAGGAATAGAATGGTAAACGGTTCACAAAAGGATATGGTATAGAGTCACTTAGATGAATTTATGCATAGAAATTGGTTTGAGGTGTCAATAATCATATTTTTGCAGAATATTAGAGACCGATGTAGCAAAACAAAATATAGTTGCCACTGCTGCAACTATCACACTTACCCAAATTATTTACACTTGGGATATCATAAACAGCTGAAATAACTTTTCTCTTTTTCTTCTCAATACCAAGTGGATACCATACATAAAACAATGCAATAATCATTATTGTACAACTGAATAGATCAATCAAAAAATAGGTAAATATCATTAAATTATTTTTATAGTCTGATTTATTCGGTAACCATGTTGAATTTGGGAAATCAGATGGTGGGCGTTGATTTTTCAAATCCATTTTGTGTAAGGTGATAAGTGTAAAACCTGTTGGTGAAAAAGATGTAGTGTTCATTATTTCTCTTTGTTTTTGTCAAATCGGACTATTAACTATCCAGAAAGGAAGCAATTTATTCATAGACAGGAGTGGAATTAAGTATATGTCATTAATATAAAAAATACGATTTTATTGATTTTTTCAGCTTAACATGTGACCTTGATTGTCGTAAGCGTTATTGGCTGCTTTATACAAAAATGGCCTATAAGGTCCAGTTAGCTATGGCTTTGAAGGGAAGATAGTTGTAGTACAAGGCTGCATACTGTCACCACGATATTCCTGATTGTGATGGAGTGGATCATGCATTGGACTGTGGGGAGCACAAAAATATGGGGATATGTTGAACCGATGAGAAGAAACTGGAAGATTTAAACTTTACTGACGAATCATGTCTCATGTCACACATACTCGAAGATTTACAAACATGCTAACAGAGGAGACATGACTTCAAATGAACATAGAGAAGACCAAAGTGGTGGAGTCACCCAGCTGACAACAACAATAAACACGGGACATCATCAGTGAGAGAAATATAATGGAAGTCACCTCTTTCATTTACCTAGGCAGAATCATTTCAACTACAAGTGGAACAGATGAGGTTATTAAAAGCAGGATCGGAAATCCATGTGGAAATTTGATGTAGTCAGCAGACAAAACAAGATTTAAGTCTTCAACACTAATGTTAAGTCACTCACAGCTTCTATATGGTTCAAAGAATGGGAGTTAGTCTCAGTGAGAGCATTCGTAACAAGTCACTTCAGACATTCATAAAAAATTGACATCACTTGATACTGAAGATGAGATGGCCATCTGCAATGGATAAGCATCAAGGAACCCTGACGACGAACCAACCAAAAAACCCATAGCCCAAAAAATATGCAGGATAAATTGGAGATAGATGGATCAGCTACACACTGAGGCCGTTGGGTGACATCGTGCAGCAGGCCCTAGGGTGGAAAACGACGTGTTGGGGCGTCCGAGATTGACATAGAGGAGATTATGTGAGGCGGAAACGAAAACTTATGGGCAGTCGTGGAGATAGCTGAAAAGAAATCCAAACAACTGAGTGAAATAGAGAGATGCTTTTGAAGCTGTATGCTCTTAATTAATAACTGTTGTGGAGTTCACTGGTTTCTTCAGAAATATTAACTACTTGGGCATTATTACCGACAATAAAAATAATAATTCTACTAGAGATAAATTTAATAAATATACATAAATCTTTCATTGTTTAATCACCTTCTTGAGTATTTTTTTTCTCCACTTTTTCTGTCACATTCTCCTTTTTCTCTCTTCTTTAACACTTTTATCCCATTGAATGACAACTGGATCTCGTTGGACAGATATTTCACTAGTTGATCCTATCTCACTTTCAGATGATTCACCAGCTAATTCATCTGCTGCAGCTTTAGATATTGGTAAGAAAGTTCGACTGCTTAGATGAGGTCTTCTATACACTGAAATACGAAGAAGAAAAAGGATAAATGAGCATATAAAAATCCCCTATTCCATTTTAGCTTTCTCTTCTGACTGATAGTGACTAAATAAAGAATAACTTCATATAGTTATTTCTGTTGATGTGAACTTGAACAAAGCAAAAAGAACACACTGAGCACGATAAAATGACATCATTATATATTTTATTGGTACTAGTTAGCAGCATACATCTTTCTAATAAACTCACTAGATGGTTAGTTGAAAAGTTAGAATCAGCTCATGAAAACCTGGTAGTACACTGTCCTAAAGACAGTTTTGAATTTGCTGAGAAGTTAGGAGACTTAAACATCTCCATTAAATTCATAGTATCCTCATTATTTACAGCTTTCTATTTGGAACAAACTATTGAAACTGTACGTCAACATTCAAATTTACTTCCAGTGTGTAACCAGGAATTGAAACACCTGCTGATATACACTAAGAATGCGCAGTTCAAGTTCAATAATGCAGTATACAACTATATTGATGGAGTTGCGATAGATAGATGATGTGACACTTAACAAGAGATATGTTGACGACACGATATTAAACATGCCTCCTATTTATTTGACCTATTTAACAAGCTACATTTGAATACAGATTTCGCTATGAAATGTCAACCAAAATGGATCTCAAACTTACACGAACTACAGATGGAAGTATACAAGAATCCTGAAATAGACTATATCTGAATTTCATTAGTTTTTCATTATAATAAAGGTTTTTTGTATTTCCCAATGAATGAAAAACAAAGTGATATCGTTTTTACTGGCATTTCGCTATTTAATGCTGCTAATAGCTTTATCAAAGTATTATTAAACCAGAATTTACAAAATCTCAGCTTATATATAGCAGTTTCATCATCGTTCCTCAGAATGGGGTCATTTTTTTGAGTTTTTGTCCAATAAGCTACAAAAAGGTGTCTACTGATAACTTTATTCTACTGCAGTGAAAAACCTTCTTTGAACTCGCCATTATTGAGAAGTCTTTTTACTCGGCAATGGATAGCCTCAAAACTTCATTGATAAATACGAGAGAATCCCAAAAATAAAAGCGAAATTTGATACATTTAAGAAGAAACCAGTCTTCCTTAATTTTTGATTTGAAGATAATGACGTTTCTGAGTGAATTAAATATGTAGTGAATGCTGTTCCCTGAACGAATTTATCTAGCTGCCAGGTTAGTCACAATTCACCGAATGGAATGCTCACTGAGATAGTCTACAGTTGGATAGTCCCCCTTTTATGTTACTTCCAATTGCATATACCACTTTACACATACATTCTCCTTACTTCTTCCAAGTTTGTCAAGAGAAATGACCGTATGAACTTTGAATAATCTATCACTAGTTAATTAGGCATATTGAACTTCATAGTGAAGTTAGCCTAGGAGATATCGTCTAGAAGGTGATTGAAAGCTTTTCAGTGAAACCGTCTTCGTAAGAGAACACAACAACATTCATATATTGGACTGCCTGTCTCACTTATCATCGACAGTCACCCGTACTCACACAACGTTTAATGTTTATTTGACGATCAGCCAGATCCATGAGGACAAATGATCGATAGGGATAAACACATTTTATAGCCGATCTATATTGTGAAAAGTCTGAGTCAAGAGAATAATATAAGAAGTCACTGTCTAGTTTTTTTTATCCCTTTACATTTCTAATGGAACAAAGAGCTTCAAGCTTCAGATGTGAAATTTCACTATAGTGGTAATGTTTTTATCTCTTACGAGGTGGGGTTGATAGTCTTACACCCAATCCCCTCCCTCTTTTTCAGGCTTATTACCATTTGGATGAGGTCTAGAAGTGAATCAGCAAGGAATCTAACCTGGATCAATTAAGACGTGGTTGGAGAGCATTCTACCACTAAACCACCAACGCCAAAGTATAGATGACAAAAATACAGACAGATTTATCAGCATAGTAAATCTTTACGAAGGTGTAACAAGAGAACTATAATCAAAACTGCTAAAGATACTTCAGATTAGTACGAATAAAAGATATGCCTATAACATATTGGGTACCCATACCTTCCTGACGTACCATTATTCAATAGTCAGTGCTAAAATTCAATGTCTTACCACCTCTAAACTCAACTGAACCTCTTGAAACATCTGATACAGAAAGAGGATTAGTATTATGTGACTGAAGATCCTAGGAGACAGCTGCTTGAAGTTGGTCATATACAGTCTTTCTGAAGTGATTCCTTTTTTAGTTGTGTACATATAAAAACAATACCACCAAAATTGTGTCACGTCTGCTGTATCTCTTGTTGTTTTATTTGCTTAACTGCATCCTTGAACCTCAATCTACTTCAAATAGGTTTCAACCTACTGCTACGAATTTTTCCACGGAAATGTAGAAAGAGCGTTACGGAGTATTGGAGTGTGCTTCCCAGAAAAGAGGGGAGGTTGGGCATTAGACTAGTAACCCGCCGTCTTAAGAATAACACCATACCTAATGAAAATTCTTATCATGCAAAACCTCATTAAATACGTGGAAGCAATTTGCGGAAATCAGCGGGGGTAGGCAAATGAATAGCTATCCTTCTTCATTTGATGCTGGTACTCTTAATAAATCCTTCCTATGTCGTCCAGGTGATGCTCTGATCTCAAATGCCACAAGCGTAAATAATGACTGCTTCTCTGGTTTTAACTCAGACGATGTCTTCAAGTGTCTCAGATCCCTGAAACCTACCCAGTCCCTTGGTCCAGATGATGTGTCAGCTATTATCCTCAATAAATATGCTGATATTTATGCCATCCTCTCACCGATATTTTCAATGAATCATTTTCCAGTAACACTGTGCCTGCTTCTTGAAAAAATACATTAAAATTATTCCTGTGCCTGAATAGTCAGGTGGACCAACTGTTAAGTTCAGACCTATTGCCATTACCTTCCCTTTTTTAAAATAATGGAAATACTGCTTTTACTTAACCTTGAACCTTCATTGATGACTCTTAACGACCCTAATTTTAATTAATTTGCTTATAAACATAGTAGGTGTACTTTAGATGCCACTGTCGTCCTATATCATAATATTGTGTCTAGTTTAGACAGAGGTGCCATATATGTTCACTGTGCCTTCCTAGATTACACACCTCCCTTCGACTATGTACCTAGGCCTCTTTTCTTTAACAAGCTTAATCCGTTGCAAGCAGAAGGCTGGATTACCACTTAGTTGCATTCCTATTTCTCTGGTAGAAAGTAGTACACAGTTTACAATGGGAGGTCCTCCACTGCTTCATTTACGCTAGCTGGTGTTCCTCAGGGAGCCTTTCCTTCTCCTTGTCTGTTTTCCTTCATCTTACATGACTTGCCCCATTCTGACGAAGCAACTTTTCACAAGTATGCTGATGACCTGACTGTTTCTCTGCCCATTACTTCTCATTTAGACTGTTCCAAAATTAAATCAATCATTGAAATCAATCAGTGGTCCTCGTCAAATGGTCTTAAGCTTAACCCCTCTAGATGTCAGGTGGTTAATTTCACTTTCAGATGCAAGTGCGACTTACGTGAACTTGTCAGTTAGCATAGTTCCACTATCATAGATGACACTGAAGTTGAAACCAAAGTGAATGTTAAACACCCTGGACTGCGTAATTCCTCTGATCTTTCCTAGTCTTCCTATATCATGACACTTTCCAGAAAGATATTCCGTTTGATATTCTATGTAAGAAAGTTGAGACGATCCGGTATCATTCCGTCTCTAATGTTATCGTTTGTTATATATATGCTGAGATTTTGTAAATTCCGGTTTAATAATACTTTGATAAAGCTATTAGCATTAAATAGAGAAACGTCAGTAAAAACAATATCGTTTTGTTTTTCATTCATTAGGAAATACAAAAACCTTTATTATAATGCATATCATATACCCAATGCCCAAATTTTTCAAACTGTTAAAACTGAACTTGGTTTGGACATAGACATTTGGATTCCTGCAAGAAATTAGTAAATATTATCTTGTCAAACTCTGAACATCATCTCCATACATAACTCTCTCTTTGCGTCTCATCGGGTAGAACTAGAAACAACTATAGAAGACTGTATGCTCTAACGACTAAGTACAAAAACTCTATGATACCTTATTTAGCACACATTTTATGTGATGAGAAAAGTGTAAGACAGGAAACTGCCAACTTACTGAGGAACTCTAAGTAAACGGCCCCATTGTTTTTTGTTCTCATTGTTACATTGATGCTGATATTTTCACTTGATTTAATTTTATATTCATTTCTTATTGAACAATGTAATTAATGTAAATGTCCTACTTTAATTATTGCCCCTTTAATATGAAAATTCGATATAATATTGCAATACATGCTGAAAATTCCATATTTGTACTAAAAGTACTGTTTGGAACAAAGCTATTATTATCACCATTATTATTATTATTATTATTATTATTATTATTATTAACTTCAAAAAGTCGAAGCTTGTAGTCCTATGTTCCATTCAGAAGGTAAGGAACTCAGTAATAATGGTGATGATGATGATGATAACAGTAAAAATCATTTTTAACTTACCCTGTTTCCTTTTCACTCTATCAACATTGTTTAATTTACGCTTTAATTTCAACTTTTTGCCTTTTTTGCTACTCTCTGGTTCTTCTTTATAAAGACTTAACCATCTTGAAGCTTTATCAAGTGGCGAAGAAGAATCAGCTTCTTTTGCAGAAATTGTCATTAATTCTTTTGGTATGGTAAATTGATCAGTTTCAATTATTTCATAGTCCTCATCAGATAATTCATCCTTTTTCAGTTCACCTTTTTCATAAGGTATAGGGGAATACAGATAAATAGAAAAATTACAAGTAGGACTAATTAATGCTATTTCATTGTGTTACTAACTGTTATTAAAGTAGTGTGGTAAATCACGTCGCGATTTTTACATGAAAATTTAAACTATAGTGCAAAATGTGTCTTCGTGAAAGTTATCAACCATAACAATACAGAATATTCGGCGTGTTTTCATCTACTCCTTATACGAAGTCTGGAAATAAGAGAGTAGAATGTGACTATGTACTACTGGTTGATTGACACGGGTGGTTGGATACTATTCACATCAACCAATAGTGCTTGCTAGCCATATCGAAGAGATATCAACACCTGTGGACAGCTGAGTTTATCAGCAGTGTACCCGGTTCAGCTTAGATTGGATATCTGAATCACTCGGAACTTCTCGAATTCTGGTTAGCTAGATAGCTGCTTGGGGAAACTGATAATACGTTAAATAGAATTTAGAATTTACAAATAACCCAGTTCAAGGTGATTATATCACTACAGTTTCCTTTGGAACCCGACATTTGACTACAGATTGCTTTTCAAGGATGTCATTAAATTGCTAAAACAAAGTGGAACAGAGTGAATTCGGCACGCATTACCCCCCAAGAGGAAAATTGGACAGGTAGCCCGCATCAATCAAAAAATACAGTCTCAAGATTATTTTACCCTGATCTGCGATCAGGATTTCAAATTTCTTGAAAGTAAACAATATCAAAGATTCACTGTATTCTAGGAAAACAGAAAATCAATCAGATGACAAGCAGTATGACATGTGAATCATCTGTCGTTGTTAGAGTGTTCATGTTATAACTACAGGGATTTTGGTTGGTTACTAACTGTTAAGTTTGAGTGAATGTAATCCAGTAACTACCAAATACGACTATTCTGCTTTAAATACCTTCCGTTGTATTCAGCTTACAAGAATATCTCAGAAGAAAATACTGGCCTGTGTCAATGAGAACAGTAACATTAATAGACAAAAAATATCATTGATAATCATTAACTACTTATTGACTGTATCTTTGCCTGTCAAATGTCAAAGTAACTGCTCTAAACTAAATGGCTTTCTGTCAGAAATCAGCCAGTGGTTCAGGGAAAACGGTCTTACCCTAAACCCCTCCAAATGCCAAACAGTCAATTTCACCTTTGGACATAAATCCGACCTAAAAAACTGCTTGGCTCTCACGAAGTGTGCAACATTGATGGCACTGAAATAGAAACCAAGTCGGAAATCAAATACCCAGGCGTCATTCTATCTGCCGATCTTTCCTGGTCGTCTCATTTCTTGGCGATTTCTAAGAAAATATTCCGTCTTACCTTCTACATCAAGAAGTTAAAACATTCTGGTATTACCCAACCCTTACTCCTACAATTCGTTAACTCTCTCATTCTGCCTATTATTCTCTATCATTCCCCCTTAGTTTTTCCAGGGCTACTGAAGAAAGACTATAACATATTACGCAGGATGTTAAAAGTTGTCAGCAGGGTAAGCAACGTGCCACTTAACCAGCTTGTTAATATTCTGGTTGACAGGCACATGGACTCATGTGAAAAGTGGGCTAAATCTATTTTATCTAGCTCACACCATCCTCTTCATTCACAACTCTCACCTTGCATCTCATCAGGCAAAACCAGAAGCCTATATAGAAAACAATATATGATCGCACCAGCAAGTACAAAAACTCAACCATACCCTACTTAGCTCGTGTTTTGTGTGATAAAGAAAGCATTAGGCGTGATACCTATAATTCATTAAATGGTCAGTAGAACAACTGGATCTCGTCTTTCCAACTCATATCATTTATAGGTACAACATTTTCTTTCTTTCTTTTCCTTTTCTCTCTCTCTTTATTTTCTTCCATTATGTGCTGCTTTGTTTCTTTCTCTCGCTTACGCCAGTAAATATGACAGCACCTACTTTTCTAACACCTTCAAATACTGTTCAACTTTGGCTTTCCTACCGACATGCCAATGTGTTGTTGTAATGATGAAGTGAGATTTCCTTAATCTATGTAAAAATTTTATTTATTGATAATGTACTAACTGGATGCAATACTGTAGTAAAAATGCTGAGAATTCCATTCTGTATCACAAGTACTGTTTTGGAATAAAGCAAATTATTATTATTATCAACTACTTATGAGTATTAAAATGAAGCTAGTTAAGTCACTTTATTTGAAAAAAGAAACACAAAACTTTTCAAGTAAGCCCTGATACAACTAGGGGAATACATTTTCATCAGTGTTATCACTCCTGATTTTAAATATTCTTCACTTCATCTCAAAGTATTACACTATCTGCAGCGTAGTTTGGGATCTTACTAGCTACTCAGCAGTTGTTTGCCTACAGTCAAGAATAACTTTAAAAGTTACTTATCTCTAATCAACTTTTTTTAAAACAAACAGTGCAGAATTCAACAATTTCGTGCAGCTACAATTTAGAAGTTATTTTTTTGGTGTAGTGGCTAACAGCAGTATTCAGGACTCGTGTTTCACCCCATTTGAGACTCGTCAGTCAGATGTACTTGTTTCACGGTGGGTTGAAGTGTTTCTCTGGAGTTTTGAACATAACACCATTTGTATAAAGTGCCAAAGGCTTATCCACTAGGCCGATCGGACATGAGGGTGCAACGGGTGTAATTTGAAGTTGTTTACGCATGTTGAAACATCCTACTGAATGGGTCAACTTTATTTTGGTATATAGGCTCCTTGAGTTCTTAATCCTCTTAATATCAAGGTGTCCTATATGCTAAAGTAAAGTTGATCGGGCCTCATTTTCATTGTACACTCGTTAGTAACTAATCTCATACATCTAATCCTCGGTGTTGGTGCAGACTGAATTATATCAATCAAGCTTACAGTGTAGCCACCAGGCTAGGTGGTTCTTCATCATGGTGCACTCTGAATTGTTGTCACTGGATGGTTGGAGGCAGTCGACAGGAGGCCTTGGACCACTTAGGTTTCGTGCTTGCATGAACTCGTCAGCAAGGCCTACTTGTGATATTGATGGAACTCAGGCCCCTCCTGAGATTAGAATCTAAGTCACCCAGTGCTCCAGACAGAGCAGTTACCTCTGATTCCTCGGGCTCGCGATTGACCTCCTGTAGAACAGTAATGAATGCTTTGGTTGGGCTTCATGTAGTAACTAATATTATGCATCTAGTCCTTTGTGTTGGTGCAAACTGAATTCTATCACAGTCATGCCGGCTATAATTTCACTATGAATTTTATGCAGCAAATACATTAAACCAAATTTTATGTAGTAATAATATTTCATACAATTATTTCTATTAATAAACTTGAACAAAGCAAAAACAATAAGGTATTGAGAGGAATAAAGAGATGTCATTATGTTTCGTTAGTTTTTCTCAAATGCAAGCAATCAACCATAAACAATTTGATATCAGTAAACAAATATTCTTTAGTCATACTTATATACTAATCATAAGAGTGAAGGATACTAATACCATGTGATTGAATATTGTTATTATTATCTACTTTGGTTCCGAGTAGAACATAAGGCTTCAACAACATATCGCCATGTTGTTCTGTCCTTTTGAGATGAATTTTCGATTGCCCATAATCTCTCATCTACTCCATGTTACCCTAGGACGACCTACTCGTCTCTTCCCAATCAAGCAATGGACTGGAGAGGTGAACTCATTCAATGGTCTCCTCAATGTATGACCGACCCATCTCCATTTTCTCTTATATATTTATTGAGCAATCGACTATTGGTTGGTTTATTGCCAGAGTTTCTTGTTGCTAATTCTTTCCGGCCTGCAACTTGATCTTCATTATGAAGCCAGCAAAGGCAGCTGTTGATAAAAGTCTGTAACCTGTTGGAAATCCTTTTCCTGACAGGCAGTGCAACTTTCTGCCCGTACGGAAGAAATGACTAACTTGATATTTGTGTTCTTAAGCTGATTAGTATTTGTAGAAATAATTACAGAATATTGTAGAATAACAAATGAATATTGCAAACTGAAAAGAGGTGTAAAATAGATGATACACTTATGTTAGGGTTAAATAATTTAACTGAACGGAGGTCAAGAATGTTGATGCAGACGAAATTAACAGTAGGAAATTACATTGTCAAAAAACAAAATAATTAAAATAACGTAAGGTGATTCACCATGGTGATATATAGACCTAATTATCTACAAGTCATTTTTACATGTATGTTTGTATTTCTCTCACTCCACTTATTGATTTGTGAACTGATTTTCTCTCACGCTATTTGTGACCTTTGAAGTCCTATTGGTTGTTCACTGTCTTAGTCTATTTCAATGACATTAGTGCTTCCCAAGGTCACTTTAAACATATAAATATGCAAGCACTATCAACCTTTTTGACTGTTGTTTCGAGACAGTGAAAGGCTATCTTACCAACGTCCAGTCTTCTCTTCTGTCTTTGCGGCCCCGCAGTATTATTACTGTTGTTGTCATCGTGTGATTAGGATAGATTAGCCAGCGCATTCGCTCATAGTCTAGTAGGTCTTAGTTCCGGTCATAACACATGGTATAGCAGCAAGGCTAACCAGCGGTATTCTTCTGAATACGTAAATTTAGTTTCATTCATTCCATGGCAATCGCTTCACTGACGCGTAGCAACCTGGAATTATTTTGAACCGATTTCACGACGGCTATCTAACAAATAGTGTAGAAAATCGCCACTTTTTTGCTTGTTTCACTCTCAAATTTCTTAGATTATGATCAGTTATGTATTCACATTTAAAAACAAAAGAAAATATGATATTTAACAATAAACCAGACATAGTAAACTTACTCGACAGTTTATCTTCAATAAATGCTCCAGTCCCTTCAATTTCACCAATAGATAAACGAGGAATCTTATCAGCGGCCTGAGACAATGGAACGATATTGTCAGCTGTAATAATGGTTTATCGATTGATCAGTTGATCGATGTGGAACAAAGACAAAAGAATATCAAAAGATACAGTTAAGTATGTGTCAAGCACAAAGTTCGAGATAAAGTTTTATTCTGAGTTTCTATTTGGAAATTCCAAAATGGCTAAATCATTTTATGTGATCCAAAATGGCACTGTAAATGATATAGAAATAGAAAGTAAGGAAATCACCCCCGCATAAACCCGCTGTGTTTACAAGAATTAGACCAGATGGTTTAAACACTAGACACCCAGATTGCCTATTATTATTACTGTTCCTCTAGATTTTGAATGGAACATAGGACCTCAGCAGCACATCTTTGTCTCACTCTGCGTTCTCTGCAGCCTTTTTTAGCTGACTCCATTATTGTTCATAGGCTTTCGTTTCCTCTTCACACAATCTTCTCCATGACACTTTCGAAATCACGCCTAACTCGTCGTTTCCCATTCGGGTTCTACTCAAGGGTTTGCCTGGTACATGATTTCATTTAACAGTCTCCTCAGCGTATAGCCAATTCATCTACACTTTCTTCAACTTACTCATATAGGCTGGAAATCATCGGTTGTGTAGTAGCAAGTACTACTACTAGTTGGAGTGAGTAGTTTCCCACTACTCATGTGATTCAGTGGTATACGCAATATTGAGAATAAAATTATTTGCATAAATGCGGGATTGAATTTTATGATTTTCAGTAATAAATTGTAATTTACACAAAATGAATCACAGACTGAATGATTAATGATCAGTTTTACGGAGACTTTTTCAACTCAAATAGTAATGCTTTTTCATCGATGGATACCCCCATAACTAGATACCGAAAGTCAGATGTTCAGTAAGAAAGAACAAGCAAAAGGGAACTGTTTCAGCTGACCAGCCGAGAACATATTACCCAAGAAATGCGTAGAATGGAATGGAGATTGATAGGCTGGATATATGCTGTGGAGGCCACTGAGTGGCGTCACACTCCAGGTCATCGAGTGGAACTCGATTGTGAATCAGAGAGTGACATGGAGAGGATCATGGGAGAAGGAGATGAAGGCTTGTACGTAGTCCTCTAGCCAGTTGAAAGCAACCGCAAAGAAGCCAGTACAGCGGAGATGTACCCATGCAGTGCTACATTCCATTTGAAATACAAAGAACAAACAACAATTCCCAAAGTGCAGATTTATGACTTTTAAACTTCAAGAGGTGATTATCTTCTCTAGTAAATTCGTGAATTCTTTTCTTTGACTACAATATAATGTATTATGGCCATTTAGTTTCCTCCGACAATGTTATATGCTGGTCATTTCTTATGAAATTTTTTGGGCCAGTGTAGGCCTGTTCGAAGGCTTGTTTCATGTATGCATGATTATTTGCTCAGGACTCCTTGGTACTACAATTAACTTACATAAGCACACCTAAGGGTTTGCAAGTATCTCTTAAATCGTTAAAAGAAATGAACAGAAATGTTATGAATTGACTGGAACTCAGCTCCATTTTGTGCCCCCAAAGAACTTTATAAAATCTCTGGGTAGGGGGTTGCGTGAGTGTATTTAACACTTTAAAACATCTACCAAAAATGTAATAGTACATGCCAATGTGTTTATGCAGCTGTGTAAATGAAGTCAGTGAAACGAGTCTACTCACGGAATATCCTGTTTGTCTTTTTTCATGTCCCAATAGGTAACTTTTGTATATTTTCAGTCGTTCACCTTACTCTTTCCGTAAGGTGATTTTTAGATTTTTTCTTTGTTATAAATATTATATCATAATAGTTGACAACTTGAACAAACATAAATCAACTGACTTTTACAAGTAGAATTTTGTACAAAAGTGCAGCAGTCCAAGCTGCGTCATACATACACAAAATGCAAAGAATCTATAATAAATGGAAATGTACAGGAGAAAGCACAACTACCTAGAGAACAGTGAGGATTTAACCGATATGAGAGATCGTAATGAATGAATGCATCTTTGTCACTGAGAACGATTTTCAGCCATATGATTAATAATGTCTTGAGAACCCCCAGTTAGTCAAATTCCACCTCCCTTTGTGACCCAAACCAAAAGTCAAAGACTTCATGAACTCTCTTCTAACCTAACTCTGTGTTCGCCATTAGTTCTTGTCGATGGACGCCATGACTTTACATATTTAACATATATCCTAGCCACCTCAACCGATGCAACTTGACAACCTCATTGACTGACACAGCTTACTTAACCTCATAATTAATGATTATATGATACGTGCTGGGATGGAAAAGCTTCTTTGTTAGCCACGAAGACATGATTTATGCAGATACTGGCATTATGACCTGACTGGACAGGTTTTATTCGTTTACTTATGGTTTAATCTTCTGAGGTCACACAATCAGATTTCATTATTTACCTACGGCTTTGACACACCATGTCTTTTGTCGAATAAAGTTGTTGTGGCCCTCGTTTTTCCCAGTCTACTTCAGTCTACTTTAGAATAGGTTTTTAATTGATCGTTTGGTTATAATCTCAGGTTATGGAGGAGCACATTCTAGTGAAGTTAGACGAATCCACAAACCAGTATGACTCCGTCATGATAATACCACTTAAAATGAGCGATTGAATACAAAAACTTATGGTTAAAGACACATAGTCTCTCTCCCACTTTCAAATATACAAATATAACAACCTTTATGATTTTATTGCAATTATGTTTTCCTTAGTTTTTGTTCAGACTATTGTGTGCCAACCATTAATATTTTATCCAGCTAGTAAGGGCCAGAATTATTTTCAAGGAAAGTCATCGTGGATCAAAAAGCAGATTCCTAATAATTTTATGAGTGCACCTCATCTTCATCGACTTCGAAAAGGCCTTCGACAGTGGTGACTACGAAGTAATTTGGTAACTACTCCAAAACTATGGCGTGCACTGCCCCATATCTTTATCAACGTCATTCAACAGCTACATGACAGTGCTGTGTGTAAAATGATCCACAACGGAAAACTCAGTGAGGTATTCCAAGTGAATACAGGTTAACATAGAGAAGACAAAGATAATGAAGATAACCAACCAACAGAACAACAACCAGCACCAATCACTATCAACGGGAGAGATTTGACAGAGGTTACTACCTTCACTTATCTAGGAAGCATGGTTTTAACCACAGGCAGTCGGAACGGATGAAGATGTCGGAAAGACAAGATACGTCTTCATCAACCTGAAACCAGTTTAAAAATCTTCTATGCTGACTTAGTAAGAAGAACAAGATTCGGATTTTCAAAATAAATTTTAAGTCAGTCATTTCATCTACATGGGTCAGAAACTTGGCCAGCGCATCACGAGAAGCATTTCCAACAGGTCATTGAAGACTTTTGTCAGCATCTGCCTTCGCTCTATGCTGAATATCAAGTCTCCAGAAAGAATTAGCAATAAGAAACTATGGCAACAAAATAACCAAGAACCTATTGTCTAGCAAATGCTTACTTATGAACACTATTTCATTAAGAATTAAGCATAATTGTATACAGTTTCTTTTTAAGAATATCATAGGAAATATATTTCTAAGACCTCTATTTCGTCTTAACATGGATTCTTCATCTGGATGAACCTGCATCCCAGTAAATGATGGTGTTCATAGTGGGAACTTTTGGGACGATATACACATCCTAGATTCTGTTGCTAGTCTCCGTCAATTATAGTCAAAGCAGCCATCCTAGTTAACTCAACAATCTTAACGGAGACAGAGATGAAAATGAAAATAATAAAGATAATTTTAACAAATGTTTTAATTGGCTAAAGATACCCATTAAAAATTTTGAAAGCCTAATTAGTGGTGAACAAAGAATGTTCGGCAAAGTTAAAGTGTCATAGCCAGAACCACGGTGACCTTGAACGGCTAATCAGTATTTCGATAGAAAAAAGCCGCATAATCGTTGAAAAATCCACTAAAATCCACTGCAAACATGATATTACACTGTTTAGTTGTACCTTATGTGTTGTAATAATGTCTCCCAGTCCCTACACGGATGATCTATAGAGAAATCATATCGTGCGCGATAAACCCATTCATCCAGGTGACTGTAGGTCATAATACTTTGAGATCCACTGATATTTCTGACACTGTTCTCCAATCTACTTCTAACTATAACCATCATCCTAACTCCAAATTCTAACTTTAAGCCTAAATCTAACCTTAACCCTAGACACTGAGCCTTGGTCTTAAAAACTATAACCCTACCTAACAGTATAGATTTACAGAAAAAGTACTTATTAAATAGGTATAATACTGTATCTATCCTCTCCAAGTCCAAAAAGACAGACATGACTTGATTTGGAATGATATTTCATAGCATTCCCTGTGTCTGATCGCTTCTAGATGGTCAACTTTTGAAAGATCTTGACTTTGGCTATCATACTTTAACTTCGCCGGATATTCTTTTCGATAACTTCTTCTTCAGGTTTGACAATTATCTGTTGATAATAATTAAAGAAATATTGTTATCAATAGTAATAATGTCTGGAGAAAGAATGAATGAAAGACCAGATTTGCAGTATAAAATGATATCGTCATTCCATTTCACAGGTTCTCACCAGATGTAAACTACCTGAAATTACAATCACTTGTGTCTAAAAGGAAGCAGATATTCGCAGAGTGAAATTACCAGACACCTTGTGGATACAGGCCATTTAGTCGAGATTTCTAAATCCTTCAGAATATTAAACATACAGAGGACAGCAAATTTACTATGATTTGCTGAAGCAATTGCAATCAAGAGTTTCAAACCAAACTTATGCATATAGAAAGAGAGTGTAATCCATCTCTCATTAACTAACTAACTGTATTTTGATTACATTTGATTAGTCATCCATATTAATGATTTCAGCACACTGAACAATTTTTCAATTTTATGAACTATAACCTTCTTGAGCTGCCTTGTAGATTTTTCTCTTTTCTATCTTCTCTTGCCCCTCCTTTTCTATTTTGAAAGCATACAAAGTGATGGCAGCTTAAATCAAAAACTGTAATGCTTATATTTCGGATGCGTTGATCTTATAATGTTTTCTCTACTACCGCTCAAACATTCAAATATGTTCTCTCCACTCTTTTATAACCATTGTAATTTCAGGCAGTTTGCAACAGCTGATAAGAAGAGCCTGTGAAATAGAATGATATCATCTTATACTGCCATACTGGTCTTTCTTTCTTTATTGAAACTTATAAAGGGGACCAAAGTAACATCGAAACAACAATTTCAATAGATTACAGTGCAAGAGCATCAAGAAGAAATAGTATGCATCAACACAACACGAAATTGAATACGAAATAAATTTAGGAAAATAGTACAGAATTTATCTATGTATAGGCTCTACCGTAGGTCTGGATAGCAATAGCGGTTGGTTCAGTTTCTTTTGCATACAGAATCTTGATTGTTTTCAGCAAATTGTAATGATCTCTGATGTTCAGAGTATTAGATACCTAGAGGATTTTGGCAGTTTATTTGCTTCCCAATAGATGAGAGAAAAATATTCTTCAATGTTTTAGGGTTTTGTGGCCTGTTTGGGTCAGATGGTCTGATGTTAAACTGTTGATACCGTTCTCTACACACTTGTGTGTGTTACCAAATACCTAAAACTTAGTTGTTAAAATAATGACTGACATGACTGGCTCAGTGGACTACGGGTATGATACTCACTTCAGGCGCTAGTGGTTCCAGGTTAGACTCCCGGCTCAGCCCGACTTTTCAACACCACATACAACATGGAACCAGTTACATTGGCCCTGATCTAAAAGTTAAGTTTTACATCAAACTCAAAAATAGTAATAATAATAATATTTCTAACAAATATTTCAATTAACAATAACTTACATCCTCTTAAGTAATCAGAAACTTTCATATATACTCTTCGATTAGCTCGTAATCGTGCTGATCTCCAATCACAAAACAAATCAAAATATTCATAAATGACAATAAACAATAAGAATAATCCTATGAAAGCATCAATTGCCCAACCAGTTATTAAAACTATTTTTTCATCAATGTCTAAGCTTTTAACTTTCCAACTTTTCTGAATAGATGAGTAACCATGGGATGCCATGGTGCATATATTATATATATATATATATATATATAATGACTATAGTATAGACAAATGTCTTTTTTAAAGGAGCTAATATACTAATCGATAATAAACAGTCAGTCTGATATGATGGTCATGTGGTACTTAATTCTGATTGGTTTATGTTGTTTTAAATGCACATTACCCTGAAACGAGTCACGTTTTTATGTAAAGGTATGTAAAAGTGAACTAAGAAATGTAAATTAGACTCACCAGCATACTTTTATATCTTTATGCGTAGGGACCATAAATGGCGTTAACACATCATACATTTGGATGACTACAGTGCTACTAAGTTTTGTTCACCAGTTTCAATTTAATTGCCTTGGAGTGGAGGTAGGGGTACTACAAGGTTGACAAAAGTCACCGATGATATTCCTGATTGTGGTGAACTGGATCATGTAACAGACCGTGGGAAGTAAGAAGGCAGACATATGCTAGAGTGATGAAACGACCCTAGAAGATGTGGATTTTGTGAATGATTTATGTTTCCTATCAC